TGCAAAGAACTCATTTCTCCCCAACCTTCTATAAATTTTGCACTAGTCTAACAAATGTCTATGAATTTTTGAAATGAACAAATAAATATACAAAATTACTTTTTACTGGGTTTTAAAGAAGTATAATGAAATATGTACCCACTGCTCTACCAAATATCAAAAGGCATTCTATTACTATTAAAATTCCACAGTAAGTAAAAGCATGTGTAACTGTTTCAAAAAGCTTAGTAGAACACTTCAGCTGAGCATGAAAAGAATGGACAGCAATCCCAGCACTCAGGAAAATGAGGCAAGAGCTCCAGAACAGTCCAGGGGCTACACAGCAAGAACCTAGCTTTAAAAAAAAAGCCAGACCCAAGTAGCTCATTCCTGTAATCATAGCTACTCAGAGGCTGAGATCTAAAGATCAGACTGGACAGGAAGTCCATGAGACTCATGTCCAGTGAACCACCAAAAAGCCAGAAGTGGAGCTGCAGCTCAAGTGGTAGAGCGCTGTCCCTGAGCGAAAAAGCTAAAGGACAGCACCCAGGCCCAGAGTTCAAACCCTAGTACTGGCACAAAAAAGAGAAAGAAAAAAATAATAAATAATGCTATATTACTTGCTATCCAGAACTGGCAAAGATTAAAGTAACCCAGTGTTGGCAAGGGCACAGAGAAATAAGCACGGTAATTATTGGTAATAAAAAATAAAGTTAACTTTTTGGAAGGGAGTCTGCCAATATTTATTATAATTTAGACTATGAGATCTAGCAATTCTATTTCTAGAAACATTTCCTGAAGAACTACATATGTATAAGGAAGTGCTTTCAGCATAGTGAATAGCTTATAGCATTAAACCAAAAACAACCTAAATGTCCAATTAACTGGGAATAAATTATGGCAACCATAACAGGTTATGAGTTATTTATCACCATATAGCAAAAATACCCCCTCAAACTTTTTAATTCCTTGGAACAATAAACAGAGCTGGTTGCCAGTACTTCACAACTGTAATCCTAGCTACTCAGATCTGAGGATTGAGGTTCAAAGCTAGCATGGGCAGGAAAATCCATGAGACTCTTAATTTTCAATCAACCAGCAAAAAGCCAGAAGGGGGGTTGGGAAGGTGGCTCAGTGGTAGAGCGCTTGCCTTGCGTGCCTGAGGCCCTGGGTTCGATTCCTCAGCACCACATAAGCAAAAAGAAAAAAGCCGGAAGTGGCGCTGTGGCTCAAATGGTAGAGCGCTAGCCTTGAGCTGAAGAGCTGAGGGACAGCGCCCAGGCCCAGAGTTTAGGCCCCATGACCGGACCCCCCCCCCCCAAAAAAAAAAAATACAGCCAGAAGTGGAGCTTGGCTCAAGTGGTAGAGTGCCAGCCTTGAACAAAAGAGCTAAGCAAGAGCGCAACACCCTGAATTAGTGCAAACCCCAGTAACAGGACCTTCTCCCAAAAATAAAAATAATGTATATTAGCTGGAGGCAATAGAGGGGAAAAACATGGACACATTCTGAGATAATTAGGAGGTAAATCCAATGGGTTTTTAAAGATACATAAGATGACAGGAAAGGAAAAGAATCAAGGCTGGCTCCTAGATTTTGGGGTGTAGGGGAGAGTGAGAGGAGGGTTGTGTGCCAGTCCTGGAGTTTAAACTTAGAGCCTATACACTATCCCTGAGCTTTTGTGCTCAAGGCTAATGCTCTATCACTAAGGACAAAGCTCCACTTTTGGCTTTTTGATAGATAATTGGAGATAAGAGCCTATCAGATTTGTCTGCGGAGACTGGCTTTGAACCATAATCCTCAAATCTGAGCTTCCTGTGTAGCTAGGATTACAGTTGCCACTGGCACCTGGAAAGCCATTTCAGAATACTAATACAAGCCATGACAGATGGGTACTATTTTATTTACTTGGGGTAAGTGTTTTGCAGTGGTTACTCTGCTCCTAAGTAAGCCTACTTAAGGAGAAAAAAAAATCCCATCCAATAATAGAAGAGAAACTTTTTTCTTTTGTTTTTGGTTGGGGGGGGGGTCCAGTTGTGGGGCCTGAACTCTGGGCCTGGGCACTGTCCCTCAGCTCTTCAGCTCAAGGCTAGCACTCTACCACTTGAGCCACAGGGCCACTTCCGGCTTTTTTCTGCTTATGTGGTTCTGAGGAATCGAACCAGGGCCTCAAGCATGCAAGGCAAGCGCTTTACCACTGAGCCACCTTCCCAGCCCTGGAAGAGAAACATTTAAGAAGGAATTGATTTGTATACTAAGTTAGCAAATGTTTATACAGGGCACCTTAATGTGAAAGATTACAAATATAGCCAGGCACTAGTAGCTCACACCTTGTAATCCTAGCCAACACTTGGCTCAGAGTACTCTGAGTTGTTAATTGTAGCTGGTCTTCTACAGAGAATTTAATAAAATTTTGTTTTGAGAGAGTCCATACCTGAAACTGGTAAGAACTTTTATATTCAAATCCACTTCTATCTTTTTAGAGTTATGATTTTAGGAAGTTATTTAAATGTTTTCTATGTTAAGGTTTTTGTTGTTGTTGTTGTTTTTTGTCAGTTGTGGGGCTTGAACTCTGGGCCTGAGTGCTGTCCTTGAGCTCTTCAGCTCAAGGCAAGTGCTCTGCCACTTGGGCCACAGTGCAACTTTCAGTTTTCTGGTGGTTTATTGGAGATAAGAGTCAAAGCCAGCCTGGACAGGAAAGTCATAAAGCTCTGATCTCCAGTTAGTCACCTAATAACCGGACGTAGAGCTATGGCTCAAAGTGGTAGAGTGCTAGCCTTGAGCAAAAAAAGCTCAGGGACAACACCTAGGCCCTGAGTTGAAGCCCCATGACGAACTGTATATGGAACAATTACATAGCCCCTGCTCTGATATCCCTAGCCAGGAAGATACCAGCAGCCAGGATGGAACCCTACAAATACCATCTGGAAGAGAAAAAAAAAAAGCAGCTGGCATCATTTATTAAAGCCACCAGCAGATAGCGCCATTCATATGCACAGAAGGTGTGCTTGTTATGAATAGCTGTGGACACACAAAGGAGAAGGAAATGCTCAGAAGGATGGACAGCCTTTTCACAGGTGGAAATCCGAAGAACATTCTTTATCAAAAATTAATTCTCATTTAAGTATGTGCTGATACGTAAGTTTTTCTCTACTGTATTTGCAGTATGATTAAGAGATGTATCTAGGGCTGGGAATGTGGCTCAGTGGTAGAGTGCTTGCCTTACATGCATGAAGCCCTGGGTTCGATACCGCAGCACCACATACACAGAAAAAGCCAGAAGTGGCGCTGTCACTCAAGTGTAGAGTGCTAGCCTTGAGCAAAAGAAGTTCAGGGACAGTGCCCAGGCCCTGAGTTCAAGCCCCAGGACTGGCAAACAAAAACAAAAAACGCATCTGGGCTCTGCAACAGTGAGTCACAACTCAAGACTGAAATCTGAGGATTGAAGGTCAAAGCAGGAAAATCTAATTGGAGACTAATCTCCAATTAATCACCAAAAAGTCAGTAATGGAGGTGCAGCTCCTGCTGTAGAGAGCCAGGCTTGAACAAAATAGCTAAGGGACAGCACCCAGGTGCTTAGTTCATGCCCCAGTACCAGCACACACACACAAAGTCATCTAGATACAAAGCATACTATGTATCAGCTAAATCGGATTTGAAGATGAATTTGAATCCAGGACTGAACACTAGAGGGAACTCTTGGGGGGGGCGGGGGGGGGCTGTGGAGCAGACAGAGTAGTAATACATCCTACCTACAGCAGGTATGTGTATCAGTTGTGGGGCTTGAACTCAGGGTCTGGGAGCTGTCCCTGAGCTGCTTTTGCTCTAGACTAGTGCTCTACCAACTTGAGCCACAGCTCCACTTCCAGCACCTTGGTGGTTGATTGGAAATCAGTCTCACAGTCTTTCCTGCCTAGGCTGGCTTTCAACTGTGATCCTCAGATCTGTCTCCTGAGTAGCTAGCGGCTGACAGACGTGAGCCACTGTCGCCCAGCTAGTAGGTGCCTTTGAAGTAGGGATAAATAAATGATTTCCTGACCATAGATGGGCGGGATCTGAAAGAAAGGTGCCAGGCCCTGTAAGCCAGCTTTCTCAACTGGGTACTGGGACTTGTCCTAAGTGACTCAGTGACCTAACTGGCCTGCCACATGTAGGTTCAAACCCTCACCACTTGCGGGGGGGGGGAGAGGAGGGGGCGCCCCAGGGAGGCTCTTAAAGGACCTGACTGCCCACCCCACAGCCCCAGGCCCACCCAGCTCTCAGAAAGCTTGGGGAGCCAGGCGCCTGTTACTCAGGAGGCCGAGATCTGAGAATCATGGGTTCGAAGCCAGCCTGAGACAGCGAACCACCGCCGAAACGGAAGTGGAGCCAGAGCTTAAGTGACAGCAGGCTGACGTGAGTAAGCTCAGGGGCAGCGCCGGGCTCCAAGCCCCGCGACCCGCACAAAAGCAAGTGTAAAACATAACCGGGGACCGCCTTCCTCACAAGCAGCAGGCAGGGCACCTCCAGGCACGCCGGCGACCCAAAGTGCACCCGAGGGAGGGCCCCGGAGCTGGCAGCGGCCTGCAGCCCCGGGCTGACGTCCCGCCGCGACCACCAGCGGCCAACAGCCGCAGACGGCGCGGGGGGGCGGAGCCAGAAAGCGGAAGTGCTCCGCTTCCTTCCGGCCGGCGCCGCACGAGACGGGGCGGTGCAGCGCGAGCGAAGGCGGGGGCCTCCCCTTGATAGACAGCTCTCGGGACCTATGAATGCAGCCGCGCGGGCCCAGCCTCTGCCTCTCCCGGCGCGCCCACCTTAAGCTGCCGACGCCCCCCACCCGTCTATTCCACCGCGGGTTTTGCACCGCGCTTCGTGGGAGCGGGACCCGGACGCGGGTCCGCCCCGTGGCGTTTCGGAGGAAGACCGTCTTGCGGCCACGCCCCCCCTCCCGCGCGACCCTCCCCTGGCCGCCCGCCCGCCCGCCCGCCCGAACCGCTCGGCGGCGGCGGCGGCCTCTTCCCCTTCCCCCTTCTCGTGATCGCGCGCGCGCGCGACCGCGGGGCGCGGAGGCCGCAAGTCCGGGACTTGCGTGTCGGGACCCGAGGGTGAGTGCCGGCGCCGGGGCAGCCAACGGGAGGGGTGGGGGGCGAGGCCCCCACGGAGGCAGGGAGGGGGCGAGCGGCCGCACGCTCGCGCACCACGACACACACACACACCACACACCTGGCGAGTTTTAGGGCCGCCTCGCCCCGTGCGTGTGGAAGGGGGACAAACAGACGGACCGGCGGACGGACGGACGGGCCGAGCGCGCGAGTGTCCGGGGAGATGGGAGACCTGGGGGGGGGCGGCTGGGCGGGAACTCGGGAGTGTTGCAACTTTGCAAAACGACCTGTGGTCAGCTGCTTGCTTGCTGCACTGGTGGGGGGGGAGGAAGCTAGTCTGGGACACCACACCCCCAGCCTCTTGCTGTCACGGAACTGGATCGAGCCCTTAGACTGGTAGCCTCTCCCTTGGGATGTGTCTGATGGGTCCTCCAGATTGGGGGGTGGGGGGGCTCAGGGGTGTGGAACTCGGTTGCTCTGCCCAGCCCTGCCTAGGGATGCTCAGAACTAAGCTGAACACTGCGTGAGTACAGAATTGTTCTCAGGATCCCTTTGCAAACTTTTGTTGTTAATGTCGATCCTGGGGCTTGAACTCAGGGCTCGGATGCTGTCCCTGCGAGTCCCTGCGCCGCCCCAGGCTAGCAATCTACCATTTGAGCCACATCTTCACTTCTAGTTTTTTTTGCTGGTTTAATGGAAGGTAAAGAGTCTCTTGGACTTTGCTGCCCGGGCTGCCATGGAACCACGATCTTCAGATCTCAGACTCTTAAGGAACTAGGATGACAGGAGGGAGCCACCGGCGCCCGGCTTCCTTTGCACACGGTTTTATTTGCTGGAGCGACTTTTTTTTTTTTTTTTTGTAGTGGTGTGCAACTAGCGCAGTCTGCATTCACAGTTTACAGTTTGCTGGCTTTCTGTCTTAATAACGTTATCATGTATGCATTGAAAACTCCACTCTTTAAAAGAAGACGGCTGCAGAAATTAGGTGGTGTGGGTGTCTATGTGTGCTTGGGCTTGATTCAAATCAAGGCTTGGGGGCTATCCCTGAGCTTGCTTTTTCATTCAAGGCTGGCACTACTATTTGAGCCACAGTTCCACTTCTGGCTCTGTGTGTGTGTGTGTGTGTGTGTGTGTGTGTGTGTGTGTGTGTGTGTGTGTGTGTGTGTTAATCGGTGATAAGAGTCTCCTAGACTTTTCTGCTTGGGTTGGCTTTGAACCATGATCTTTAGACCTCAGCCTTCTGAGTAGCTAGGCTGGACAGGCATGAACCAGTGGAGTCTGGCATAAGTTGTTTATCTTTAGGTACCTTGGAAGTGTAGGTCTTGATGAGCTATCAACACAACCCTGGCTAGCTACGGGTGTAATAAATAATTAGTAAAACGCTATTCATTATTCAGAGTGAAGCAAGATGTTCCAGGGACTGGAACCGGCTTACTCATTGCCACCCCACACCCCCGCCTCCCACTCCCAGCTTCCAAACTCAGCTTCTACTCCCTATGATGACTCACCACTGCTGCTCCCTGAGCTAGCAGCTGCCCTGATTGGCATGTGTGTGCATGCACACACACACACATACACACTTATTCACCCACCCATCTTCCTAGATGGCCTGAAGTTTGCATGGAGAATTGTTTTCAACAATACAGGTGTTAAAATTCAGATATCTGAAACAAAACAATGTTTCTGTGCTTCAAAAATCCAGATAACTGTTGTACTGTTGAATCAGTTGCTTCCATGTAGGTCCCACGCGGCCACATCTGTAGGAGATGCAAAAGTGCTCCTACTGCAGGTGTCCATGGCTTACTCCTGTCATCCTACCTGCTCAAGAGGCTGAAATCTGGGGATTGTGGTTCAGAGCCAGCCTGGGAAAGAAACTCTATGAGACTCTTATCTCCACTTAGCCAGTAAAAAGCTGGAAGTGGAGCTGTGGCTCAAGTAGTAGAATGCTAGCCTTGAACCAGGTGGGAGCTTGGGGCCCTGAGTTCAAGCCCTAGAAATGACATTTTAAAGAAAAGTGAGGCTGATACTGGTGGCTCACACCTGTCATCCTTAGCTAATCAGGAGACTGAGATCTGAAGATTGCAGTTTGAAGCCAACCCCAGGCAGGAAAGTTCGTGACACTTTATCTCTAACTACCAAAAAGCTGCAAGTGGAACTGTGTGGCTCAAGTGGCAGAGTAGCAGGCTTGGGTGAAGAAGCCAAATGAGAGTGCCCAGGCCCTGAGTTCATAGCCCCAGTATGAGCACAAAAATTTAAAAAACAGGGCTGGGTAGAGCGGTAGACATACTTGCCTAGCATGCATGAAGCCCTGGGTTTCTATTCCTCAGTATCAAATAAACAGAAAAAGCCGGAAGTAGCACTGTGGCTCAAGTGGCAGAGTGTTAGCCTTGAGCAAAAGATGCTTAGGGACAATGCCCAGGCCCTGAGTTCAAGCTCCAGGACTGGCAAAAAAAAAAAATTAAACTAAAAATTAAAAGGCGGGGGTGGGGGGGGGGAGGGGGAGAGGGAGGGGGCAGAGGGAGTATAGTTGTGGAGATGGGAGGGAAGAGATGGTAGGGGAAAAACAAAGGAGGAGACAACAATGCTTGATAAGAAATGTACTCATTACCTTGCTCCTGTAACTGTAATCCCCTCTGTACAGTATTTTCACATAAAAAAAATTAAAAGGAGAGATGAGTAGGGTTTGTTGTGGGGAGAATGCTGCCGTGGAGATAACCTTTCATTTCTATGTCTTTTGTAGGAGTGGTCAGAAGAACAATGCATATAAGTCTTTGATATCATGATGTACCTCCGGCAAAGGAAAGAGATAAAAACCATTGAACTTTCTGAGGGTTTCCCAGCACAAGAAGAAAATGGGAAGTTGGAAAACAAATTGCCAACTGGTAGGCAGTATAAACAAAAGCTGTGTTTTGAATCATCTTCATTTCTACATTTAAAAAAAAAAAAAAAAAATCACCTTGTTTTTTTTTTTTGTGCCAGGTCGTGAGGCCTGAACTCTGGGCCTGGCCACTGTCCCTCAGCTCTTCAGCTCAAGACTAGCACTCTACTACTTGAGCCACAGCACCACTTCCAGCTTTTTTCTTTTTGCTTATATGGTGCTGAGGAATTGAACCCAGGGCCTCAGGCATGCAAAGGAAGCGCTCTACCACTGAGCCACCTTCCCAGCCCCAAAAATCACCTTTTAAAAAGAAAAAAAAATGTGCTAGTACTGGGGCTTGAACTCAGGGCCTGCATGTTTCCCTTAGCTTTTTTGCTAAAGGTTGATGATATACCACTTGAGCCACACCTCTGCTTCTGGTTTTTTTGGAGCAAACAGTCTCACAGACTTTCCTGCCTGAGCTGGCTTTGAAACACTATCCTCAGATCTCAGCCTCCTGAGTAACTAAGATTACAACTACCCTACAACCACTTCCCTGCTTAATAACATTTTTGTGTGTCTATGTTTTGGTCAAGGAGCTTGAACTTGTCTTGGGCCCTGTCCCTGAGCTTCCTTTGCCCAAGACTAGTGTTCTACCACTTGAGCCACAGTACCACTTCTGGCTTTTTTTTTTTTTAGTTTATTTGAGATAAGAGTCTCACGGGGACTTTCCTGCCCACGCTGGCTTCAAACTGTGATCCTCAGATCTCAGCCTCTCAGATGGTGGCTAGGTGTGAGCCACCAGCACCCAACAACATGCTTTTTGACAGTGCTTCTGAGGACCTCATGCAAACGTTTTTGTTTTTGTTTTTACATTTCTGGGATTTGAACCCAGGGCTGTGTGATTGCTTGGCTTGCTTGTTTAGATGTAACACTTTAGCCATACCTCCAGCCCAGCTTTTAGCCATTTAACTAGAGCTGGAGTTTTACAGACTTTTCTGCACAGACTGACTTAGTGATCCTTGGCTCCCAGCCTCTTTTTGTAGCAAGGATGACAAGCATAAACTACCAGCGCTCAGCTCAAACACTCTTTTGTTTCACTCTTTAAAATTAAAACATAGCTTTGCTTCATTTTACCAAAGTAGTATTTATTCATGTCAAAAAAAATACAAAAACCTCTGAAAACTAAAGTAGGCAAGAAGGAAAATAAGTAACTCCCACAGATTGTTCAAGACTACCACAGATACTGCTTGTTGTTTAAAAGTCACTCTTGGTGGTCAGAACTGGTAGCTCATGCCTGTAATCCTCACTACTCAAGAGGCTGAGATCTAAGGATCACAATTTGAAGCCAGGGAAGTTCATAAAACTCATGTCCAGTTAACCACCAAAAAGCCAGAAGTAGAGCTGTAGCTCTTTGCTATTTTTTTTTTCGGGGGGGGGGGGGGGGGGGATCTGGTCATGGGGCCTGAACTCGGCCTGGGCACTGTCCCTCAGCTCTTCAGCTCAAGGCTAGCATTCTACCACTTGAGCCACAGCGCCACTTCCGGCTTTTTTCTTTTTTTGCTTATGTGGTGTTGAGGAATCGAATCCAGGGCTTCATGCATGCAAGGCAAGTGCTCTGCTACTGAGCCACCTTCCCAGCCCCAGAGCTGTAGTATGGTAGAATGCCAGACTTGAGCAAAAAAGATCAGCACACGTACAAAAAAAGTCATTCTTGGTATATGTAAACTCCAAGAATTCATAGGTATTTTTAAAGATGGAAGCCCATGTGCTGCTCTGAAAGTTATTACTTTTCTTTTTTCTTTTTTTTTTTCTTTTTTGCCAGTCTTGGAGCTTGAGCTCAGGGCTTTGGGCACTGTCCCTGAGCTTCTTTTTGCCTAAGGCTAGTACTCTACCACTTAAGCAACAACGCCACTTCTGGCTTTTTCTGTTTATGTGGTACTAAGGAATTGAACCCAGGGCTCCATGTAAGCAAGACAAGCACTCTACCACTAAGCCCTACTTTTCTTATGTATCATCAGTCAGATACATTTTTATGTATCATAAAATCAGGATACATTTTATAAGATTGTATAATATCATATTGTGTGGCAGGGCTCCTATCTACTCAGGAGGCTGAGAGCTGAGGATCAAGGTTCAAAGCCAGCCAAAGCAGACAAATCAAAGTGAGACTTACCTCAGTTAACTGGGGGTGGGGGGGGGGGGTGTAAGGGGGAGAACAGAAGTAGAGATATAGCAACTCAAGCTGTAATATCAGCCTTGAGCAGAAAAAGCTAAACAAGAGTGTGAGACCTTGAGTTAAGCCTCATTACCTGCACACACACAAAACTGCATAATTTAATTCTTTGTTGCTGAATAGTAAAAATGTATTTCAAGCTGGGTACTGTTGTTCATGCCTGTAATCCTAACTACTGAGGAAGTTGAGATCTGAGGACTCAAACCCAGCCCAGGCAGGAATGTCCATGAAACTCTCATCTCCAATTAAGCACCAAAAAAGCCAGAAGTGAAGCCATAGCTCAAGTGATAGAGAGCTAGCTTTGAGCAAAAGAAGCTCAAGGACAGCACCCAGGCACTGAGTTCAAGCCTCAGGACTGGCATCTCTAAAAAAATTAGCCTTCTGCTAATATTGGCAGAACTGTGGTAAACATCCTTGTCATCCGGTGCTTATTTAGAACTTCAGTTGTCCTCTTAGGGAATTTCTGGTCCAACAGTTGGCTCAGTGCAGGGTGGTGTTGGGTTCCAGAGAAGTACCAATTCAATTCTTCCAGCATCAGTTTTTGAAGATGTCTGTTTATTTATACCCTTTTCTAGACAAGAGTGTTCTCACTTCTAAGCTATCGAATTGGCCAAGGTTTTTTAAAAGTACAGCTCAAATTGTTTTTGATTTGCATTTCTTCAACCCTAGTGAATTGGAATGAATTTGAGCATCTTTTTCTTCTGTTAAATTTATTGGCCTTTTTTTTTCCTCTTTTGTGTGTTGTCTATTCATGTCTTTAATCTGTTTCTTACTGAAATATTCATCATTTTTTATTATCCAGAAATATCTCACACTTAAAGATATTTGAGCTTTCTTATATGTGCTATAAGTTTGTTTTTTTTTTGTTTTTTTTTTTTTTTTGTCGGTCGTGGGGCTTGAACTCTGGGCCTGGGCGCTGTCCCTCAGCTCTTCAGCTCAAGGCGAGCGCTCTACCACTTGAGCTATAGCGCCACTTCCGGTTTTCTGGTGGTTTATTGGAGATAGGAGTCTCACTGTTTTTCCTGCCCGGGCTGGCTTTGAACCGCGATCCTCAGATCTCAGCCTCCTGAGTAGCTAGGATTACAGGCGTGAGCCACCAGCGCCCGGCTGTGCTGTAAGTTTTTATGTCCTTTGAGTTACAATGTATTATTTTCTCTGTGTTTTGGGGTTTTGTGCTAGTACGGGGGCTTGAACTAAGAGCCCCCTCTTTTAGCTTTTTTTTCTCTCAACGCTGGTACTCTCACTTGAGCCATACCTCAACTATGGACTTTTTGGGGTTAACTGAAAATAATAGTCTCACAGACTTTTCTGTCCAGGCTGATCCTCATATCTCAGCCCCCTATTCCTAATCCAGGATTATAGGCATGAGCCACCAGCTCCCCCGGCTACATTTTGCTTTTGGAAATGAATGACAGGAGAGGGATGGGGAGACACTATAACCCCATCTGTGGAACCACAGAAAAGGAGCCTCTTCCAATGAAGGCTTCATAAATGACAGGCATCTGGGGCTTCGGCTTATTTGAGTCTATATTAGCACTATTCTAAATCACTTACTTGGTTATTAATTTTTCTGTGTCCTTTTTCCAAAAGGTTGTACCAATAGAAAATTCTGGAAGATTCTGTCCTTTACGATCGGTGGCACCATTGCCCTGTGTATTGGACTTCTTACATCGATCTACCTTGCAACCTTACATGAGAATGACTTGTGGTTTTCTAATATTAAGGTATGGGGTTTCTGTGACCATTGTTTTCTCATCCCTGTCTCTAGTAGTTTTTCATGAATGGCCAAGACACTGTTTTTGCTATTAAAGAATTCAGCCTGGAGCTGGATATGTGGCTCAAACACGATGAGTATCAGCCTAGTAAGCATGAGGCCCTGAGATCAACCCCAGCATTGAAAAAAATAGATCTCTTTTTGTTGTTGTTGTTGGTCATGGGGCTTGAACTTGGGATTTAGGTGCTGTCATTGAGCTGTTTTGCTCAAGGCTAGTACTCTACCACTTTGAGCCACAGCTGTACTTGTGGATATTAATTGGAGATGAGAGGCTCATAGGGACTTTTCTGCCTAGGCTGACTTTGAACCATGATCCTCACATCTCAGCTTCCTGAGTAGCTAGGATTATGTGCATGAGCCACCAGTGCCCATCATTAATCTCTTAAAAGCTTTGATTCTAGAATAAAAAGGTATTTTCGTGGGCTGGGAAGGTGGCTCAGTGGTAGAGCGCTTGCCTTGCATGCCTGAGGCCCTGGGTTCGATTCCTCAGCACCACATAAGCAAAAAGAAAAAAACAAAAAAAAGGTATTTGCGTTCATTCTGTTTAAATAATATAATTCTTATAAACAAGCCAGGTTTCTTTTTTTATTAACTTTAGTTATATTGCAGTTAGTCTGAACTGCTGGTGTCTTTCCAACAATGAATTGTGAAATTCATCTAGTAGATTGAGTAATTGTTTTTGTGTAGTATGTTCCAATACTGGGATTTGAACTCAGGGCTTAGGCACTGACCTTGAGCTTTTCCGTTCAAGGCTGGTGCTCTGCTATTTGAGCCACAGCTCCATTTCTGGTTCTTTGGTGGTTCATTGGAGGTAAGAGTCTTATAAACTTTCCTGCCCAGGCTGGCTTTGAACTATGATCTTCAGATCTCAGCCCTCTGAGTGGCTAGGATTACAGGTGTAAGCGTCATGGACTGACTGAAAATAATTTTTTTTTAATTGTAATAAGGAAAACAAAAATCAAACACCACTGCTCTAAAACATGGAGTCTTTCTCCACCTCTAAGATGGAGTTCTGCATGTCCATATTTTCCTAATAGTGTTTGCAAATATTTGGGGATATGCAGAAGCTGTGCTTTCTTTTGAGAAAGGAATTATAAAAAATTTTCACTGGATTTTTCAAGGAGGTCTATTACTCTTCATTTTTATTTATTGATTTATCTATTTATTTACATATTTATTTCGTACTGGTATTGGGGCTTGAACCTAGGGCCTGGGCACTTTCCTTTAGTTTTTTTTTTTTAGGGTGGGGGAGGTTCAGTCATGGGCCTGAACTCTGGGCCTGGGCTCTGTCCCTCAGCTCTTCAGCTCAAGGCTAGCGCTCTACCACTTGAGCCACAGCGCCACTTCCGGCTTTTTTCTTTTTGCTTATGTGGTACTGAGGAATCGAACCCAGGGCCTCATGCATGCAAGGCAAGCGCTCTATCACTGAGCCACCTTCCCAGCCCCTCCTTTAGTTTTGTTTTAGTCAAGGCTGGCAGTCTGTCCCTTGAAGCATACCTCCACTTCCGACTTTGTGCTGATTAATGCAGAGAAGAATCTCATGGATATTCCTCTCTGGTTGGCTTCCAACCTCAGTCCTCAGATCTCAACTTCTTGAGTAGCTAGGATTACAGGCATGAGCCGTTGGCATCTGGCTCTACCTATCTGCCTGCCTCACTTTCACTGTGGTCATATGGGTCTATGCAGCATGGGGAGGATGGCATACAGGGCAGCTGACCCGAGCTTCTGTTTCCAGTGTTGCCAGTGCTTCAATACACAGGCATGATGGGTTGAATCATCGCCACAAGTTGGAAACCAGAAAAGTTGGGCTGATTACTTAAGGGCTCGAAGTTCTGCCTTCTAGTCAATGACATGGCCAGCCTCCATCCTGAGTCATCTCTTTAGCATAAAGTAGAGGCTCAGTCTGAGTCACCCTGCTACAGGAACTGTCAGGTGTGATCTGCACAGCTCATCTATAAATGTCTCTCTTTTTTTTTTTTCCTTAGTGCCATTTCTGAGGCTTGAACTCAGAGCCTCATACTCTTACTCAAGGCTAGCACTCTACCACTTGAGCTATATCTCCACTTTTAGGGAGGTTTTGGCTAGTTAATTGGTGATAAAAGTCTCTCAGATTTGTTTGCCCATTGTTTGCCCAAGGCTGGCTTGAACAGTGATCCTCAGATCTCAGCCTCCTGAGTAGCTAGGATTACAAGAGTGAGCCATCAGTCCAGCAATGATGGCTCTTACTGTTCAGAAATCCTGAGTATTTGAAAGCTACCATCCCTACCAGGAGCCTAGGACAAAGAATAGTAAGGTCACCACCTGAGCCCCAGAAAGTTAGGACAGCCAGGTTCTTGGGGGTTTTTTTGGTGCCACTCCTGGGGCTTGAGCTCAGGACCCAGGTACTTGCCCTGAGCTATTTTGCTCAAGGATAGCACTCTACCACTTGAGCCACAGTTCCACTTCCAGCATTTTTGGTGCTTAATTGGGGTCTCATGGATTTTTTTTTTTTTTTTTTTGCCCAGGCTGACTTTGAACCATGATTCGTAGCTCTCCACCTCCTGAGTAGCTAGGGTTACAGGCATGAGCCACCAGTGCCTGGCCTGTTTGTTTTGTTTTCATAAGACTGCATATCCCTATGTGGCCTGAGGTAATAACTCTCCTGCTATCTCTGCTTCCTGACTGCTTGGGATTAGCAGCGACAGGCCTGAGCTGCAGTTCCTGGTTAGATTCCTTTATTATACTGAATGCAAGGCAGAAATTGATGAGTTCAGGTTCAGCTCTGCAGGGAGGCACTTCCAAAGCAGTGACAGGGAGTAACAGAAGCTTGGGTTGACAGCTCCAAAGGCAGAAATTGCATCTGTGTCAGAAATGGGCATTTTCCTATTACCAGCTTGTAGGTGCGTAGGCGAGATTGTTTCAGAAGTGCCTTGAAGGAGAGGAGCAAGAGAACCTAGGCCAGTTTCTGTCTGGGCCTCCTATACCATCTGAGAAGCTGAAGAACGACCACATGCCCCAGCAGGTTCATCCTGGCTACCACCCACCCCCTAGAAGCAACAGCAAAGCAGCAGGGCCTCCTTGAGTTTCCCCCCTTTTTTCAAACAGTACCAAGCTCCTACCCAGGACAGCCATATGTGAGGCTTAGAGGTTATCTCCGGGGACCCAGGGACGAAGGCCAGCCAAATTCCTTGTGTCCTAAGGGAGAGTCTGGGCACTGTCCCCTTAACTCTTTTTTTTTTTTTTTTTCCTCAAGACTGGTGCTCTATCTTTTGAGCCACAGCTCCACTTCCTTTTTTTTTTAATGATCATTGCAGGTAAGAGTGTCGTGGATTTTCCTTCCTTGGGCTGGCTTCAAATTATGATCCTCGGATCTCAGCCTCCCATCCTCAGATATCTGCCACCGGTGCCCAGCTGTTTATTTAATACTTAGTGGTACTCAGGTTTGCACTGAGGGCCTCATGTTTGCCAGGCAGGTACGCTTCTACTCGAGGCACATCTCCAGCCTTTTATTTTATTATTTTCATAGAGTTTTTCAGACTTCCCTGCCTGGGCTAGCTGCAAACTTAGATCTGATCTCAGCCCCCTGAGTAGCTGAGATTATAGATGTGAGCCACCAGTGCCTATCCCAGCCTGGCTGAGTTAGGTGGTTTCTAATTGTGTTGTGAAGCTCTTAACTGATGTTTACTTCTCACTTTAAAGTGACAATGTAAACATGTCACTCCCTCCCTCTCTTGGAATTGCCTCCAAGCAATTAAGGAAAATGAAGATAGTCAGATGCTATCTTTCCCTTCTTTTCTTCTTTCCTTCCATCCCACCCCCCCCCTCTTGTTTCAGCCCAGAGTCTGCAAAATGCTAGTAAGCTTTGTTGCACCACAGCCCCACACCTTCAGCCCCATTGTGTGTCACTGAGAAAGTTGAGAGTATCACTGAGAAAGTTGAGAGAGTTCTGTAATCTAAAGAGTAACCAGCCCAATAACAGTCACAGAGTATAAAAGATACTGACAGGCAGGTACAGTGGCTGATGCCTGTCAACCTAGCTACTCAGGAGGCTGAGCTCTGAGGCCTTCTTTACAAAGCCAGCCTGGGCAGGAAAGTCTGTGAGACTCGTATGTCCAATTAACTACCAAAAAGCTGCAAGTGGACCTATGGCTGGCTCAAATGGTAGCGCACTATCCTTGAGCAAAAAGCCCCAGTACTGGCATTTGGGCACGTGTGTGTGTGCGCGCGTGCGTGCGTGCATGCGCGTGCACTCACACACACACACGCCCCTCAGACCAAATGCTTAGACCAAACTCTATAGGAAAATAAGGAGCTCCAGTAGGATTTTCAGGGATCATGACAAATTCTTCATCTCCTGGGCTGATATTAGAGTCACTAAGAGGATGTTTTTAATTCACATAGGAACCCTGGGTGCTCAGCCCCAACCCAGAGCTTGGGTTGTTCCTAGAGTTGTTTATTTAACACTGCCAAGGATGTACCAGCAACACGTGGGAAAAAGTAAAAAGTGCACACATTGGAGAGGAAGAAGTAAAATGATTTCTTTGCAGATTATGTGATTATATATCAGGAGCCCCCAGAAGAATCATCTGGAAAACTATTACAAGCAATAAAGTTCAGTCAATTGCAGGATATAACATTAGATGCACAAGAAAGGAAAACATTGTATTTTAGTATTTGTCAAATGGAAATTCAGAGACAGAGCGCCAGTATGCCTGGAAATTGTTCAGCTGCTGGCTCCCAGCTGTCCTGGCTACAGGTGTAACATGCCATTCCCTATACCCTCTACAGACCTGCCCTCATCCTCACCCCTCTGATCTGGCTTTGTATTCACTGTTCAGGCTTCCACGCTGCACTGGCCTGTGTCCACTATCCTACCTTTTGCCTAAGTCCATTGTTAATTTTCTTTTCTTTCCTTTTTTTTTGTTAGAACTAGGGCTTGAACTGGAGGTCTAGTCACTACCTCCTTAGCTTTTCGCTCAAGGCTAGTGTTCTACCATTTGAGCCACCCCTTCACTTCCATCTTTTGGTGATTAATTGGAGATAAGGGTCTCATCTGACTTTCTTGCCCCAGCTGGGTAGAAAATGTAATCGTCATCTCTCTACCTCATGCTGGGTGCTGGTGGCTCGTGCCTATGATCCCAGGTACTCTGGAAACTTGTACATATCAAGTCCAAGTCCAGAGCTTGTCACCTACCAGGTGATGTGATTGCACACTTCTTCCCTGTCTTCTCCCTTCCCCTTCCTCACCTCCTTCTGACCTTACTGACTACCCTTTCTGTCCCCCAACTCAGGCTGACTGCCCTCACTGTTCAGGGTGACTGAAGCTAGGCGCAGAGATTTTTGTCTTGGCTTCTGAATCTCCCAGCAGAAAAATGTTGACCACATGATAGTCATCCATAGCTATTTTTTTTTTTGGGGGGGGGGGGTCAGTCGTGGGGTTTGAACTCTGGGCTTGGGCACTGTCCCTGCGCTCTTCAGCTCAACGCGAACTCTCTACCGCTTGAGTCACAGCGCCACTTCCAGTTTTCTAGTGGTTTATTGGAGATGAGAGTCTCACGGACTTTCCTGCCCGGCCAGGGCAGGCTTTGAACCGTGATCCTCAGATCTCAGCCTCCTGAGTAGCTAGGATTACAGGCGTGAGCCACCAGTGCCCGGCTTATTTATTTATTTTTGTCAGTTGTGGGGCTTGAACTCTGGGCCTGGGTGATGTCGCTGACCTCTTCAGTTCTACCACTTCAGACACAGTGCCATTTCTGGTTTTTCTGGTGGTTAATTGGAGATAAGAGTCTCACAGTCTTTTCTGCCAGGGCTGGCTTTGAACTGTGATCCTCAGACCTCAGCCTCCTGAGTGGCTAAGATTACAAGTGAGAGGGGCTGGGAAGGTGGCTCAGTGGTAGAGTGCATGCCTTGCATGCCAGAAGCCCTGGGTTCAATTCCTCAGCACCACATAAGCAAAAAGCAAAAGGCCGGAAGTGGTGCTGTGGCTCAAGTGGTAGAGCGCTAGCCTTGAGTTGAAGAGCTGAGGGATAGCGCCCAGGCCCAGAGTTCAGGCCCCATGACCGGACCCAAAAAAACAAACAAACAAACAAAGATTACAAGTGAGAGCCACTGGCTCCTGGCTTCAATAGGTATTTAATCAATAGATGGATGAGTGAAAGGAGAGGATGGATGGATGGATGGTTATATGGATGACATAAATGGATGGGAGGGAGGGAGAAAGGTTGAAGGATAGATAGATGGATAAATGGAAAGAAAGATGAATGGATGGATGGTTAGAATGGTGGATATAGATTGATGGATGAATGGATGGAAGGAAAGAGAAAGGATGGATGGATGGAAAGAAAAGATGGGTAGAATAGATGTTTGATAGAATGATAAATATAGATGCATACTTAGATAAAGGGAGGGATGGATTAATGAATGAGGAAGACAAATGGAAGAAAAGCATGGAATGGAGTTGGGGAGCTACATTACCAGCTAAAGCAAAGATTGATTTATTCTCTACCTCTGGCATGGATGTTCCCTTGCTCTGTCATTTTCCTTTGTTTCCCATGCATTGTTCTTTCTTATTCAGACATCACATAAACTCCTTGGGATCCTAACACATTTTTGTTTCTCCGGCAAACAAATGTTGAAATAAAATGATAAAGGAAGGTAATTCCTTCCCATAGCTTTTTTTTTTTTTCCTAGTCTTTTTTCCCTAACATTTGGCACTGTCGCCCTCATACTGAATGGTTGGTTGCTGCAAATTTTTACTGCAAAATATTACATCCTCGCGCAAAGCTAGGTCTATCTGGAATCAATAAGGTTAATGTGTCCAGAAGTATAGCAACAGCGACTGCACAGGTAGCACACAGACAACTGCTTCTCGGGAGGCTCAGAGGAGGTCCCGTCACCAGAGCCAGCATCTAACCCATTCATCGGCACGGCTTGGCAGCTCTCACGTGTCACAGCTCTAATCAACTCTAGGGCAAGAATCCCTCCATTCTAACAGATGGACGTGAATTTAACCAGACAATGAACCATGTATGCGCCATAAATATGTTTGCTGAGGGCATGATTTTTCAGCACAGAACTTTTAAGAGCAGCTGTCTTATCATGAGCCCCCGATTCTTCACAAGATGATTTGTGAACCTAATTCAGAAACAGATAACATTCATAAAGTTAATTGTCCATTTGGTTTCCTTCATACCAGCCACCTAATTATTGGGTTGGGGGAGAGTAGGAGGGAGGGATTTTATAAATAAACATATATATATATATATATATATATATATATATATAATTTTTTTTAAAAAACTGATTTGAGTCAGGTGCTGATGGCTCATACCTGTCATCCTAGCTACTCAGGAGGATGAAATCTGAGGATAATGGTTCGAAGCCAGCCCAGACAGGAAAGCCCATGAGACTTTTCTCTCCAATGAACCACCAAAAAGCCAGAAGTGGAGCTGTGGCTCGAGTAGTAATAGACCACCAAACTTGAGCAGAAAAGGAAAAGGGACAGCAGCAGTTCCCAAGCCCTGAGTTCAAGCCCCAGTACCAGCACAAAAATAAATAAGTAAAATGTTAAAAAAAATAATTTGATGTTTCCAAATCTAGTGCCATTTGTCTAAAAGAGCTTGTTAACCTTTTGTGCATTGCCAGCAACTTGCTTTATAGCCTGTGTGAGATGCAAGTAGTTTGCTGTGAATAGCCATTATTTTTCCTTGCAGCCTTCTTTTAGTACTTAAATTGCTGTATAAGCTACTTACTGCTTCAGTGGTTCCACTGTACAGTTCTTAAAAAAATATATGGTTCTTTTGTCTATCCACTTCTGTCATTATCTGCTGAGACATTTTCTGCTCTCTCAATAAGCCTGGGAACCCATGAAAATTAAAATGTGGCGTAGTTGTTCGTTTTGCATTCTGTCGAGGGTGACTTCTATTGATGTACATTTCTATGGGCATGATCCACCAGGCAAGGGATAAATTGCCTTAAAACTGGAACAGTGTTTGTGGAAAGCAGATGTTGTCTTCGCATGAGGCAGATGTGACACTTGCAAGTGTCTGTCTAATAAAGTTTAGCATTTGGTTCTCTGCAGCTGGTGCCACAATCACCAATTAATCATGTTTGAATGCATTTTTTACTAATTAGATCCCCCTCTGTTTTTTACTGTTCTGGATATATCAAATGGAGGACGAGGACACAAAACCTTTCTGCTTTTAGAACTCGGAGCAATTCTTTCTCTCATCTTTGTAAGACTACATTATTTTTGGAATCATATAGGAACCAGAGTCCATAGATGTTCCTAACCAAGTTGGCTTTCCAGTAAGTCTTGAAGATTTAGCGTTAGGATTTTTTCCATTGGAGGCAGTAGTTAATATGTGTAGTGTGTGTGTGTGTGTGTGTGTGTGTGTGTGTGTGTGTGTGTGTGTGTGTGTGTGTACTGGGGTTTGAACTCAAGGCTTCTTGCTCTCATTTGGCTTTTTCACTTTTTACTCCAGGCTGGCACTCTGCCACTTGAGCCATAGCTCCACTTCCAGCTTTTTGCTGGTTAATTGGAGGTAAGAGTCACACAGACCTTTCTGCCTGTGCTGGCTTTGAAAAGGAATCCTTCAGATCTCAGCCTCCTGAGCAGCTAGTATGACAGGTATGAGTCACTAGCACCCAGCCCAGTTTAGTTTTAACTTGCGTGAAATAGCAGAACATTAAATTTGAACTGTCAATATAACTGGAGCTAATTATTAGTTATCTCCATTTTAAATCATGACTTATAATAGAAAAAAACAGCCAGGCGCCAGTAGCTCATGTCTATACTCCTAGTTACTTAGGAAGACTAAGATCAGAGGATCATCGTTGGAAGCCAGCCCAGGCAGGAAAGTCTGTGACACTCTTACTCCATGGAATTAACCAGCAAAATGCCAGAAGTAGAGCTGTAGCTCAAGTAGTAAAGTACTAGCCTTGAGCAAAAAAGCTCAGGGATAGCACCCAGGCCCTAAGCTCAAGCCTCAAGACCAGCACCATTTTGAAGGAAGGAGGAAGGGAGGGAGGAACCCACAGTAGAAGGAACAATATGGGGACAGGCCCCAGATATCTATCATCCAGCTCTTAACACTCATCAGTCTTCCGGGAATCTCTTTTTTTTTTTTTTTTTCAAGATTCTGAGGATTGTAATTGCTGTTTGTTTTTCTTTTGAGCTGCAGTCTCCTGCTTCTACAGTGACAATATGTGTTTAAACCAAACTAGGTCAGCTCTCCTTTTATTTCAGGAAGTGGAGCGAGAAATCTCATTCAGGACTGAATGTGGACTGTACTATTCTTACTATAAGCAGATGCTGCAAGCACCAACCCTCACACAAGGTAATCGTAGCCCGTAGATCTATTTAGGGTCTATTGCCCTCTTCCCGATATTTTAGTCAAAGCATACATGGCACTAAAGCATTTCAGTGGGGTTTTTTGGGGGTTTTTTTTGTTATGTTTGTCAGTTGTGGGTCTTGAACTCTGGGCCCTGAACTCTGGGCCCTGGGCACTGTCCCTCAGCTCTTCAGCTCGAAGCTAGTGCTCTACCATTTGAGCCACAGTGCCACTTCCAGTTTTCTGGTGGTTAATTGGAGCTAAGAATCTCACAGACTTTCCTGCATGGGCTGGCTTTGAACCATGATCTTTGGATCTCAGCCTCCTGAGAAGATAGGATTACAGGCATGAGCCACCAGCTCCCGGCATGGATTTCAATGTTTTACAGAACTAGTGTTAATTTTCCTCTGAACTTAGGTAGCATTAGATTTAAAAGGTAGTGTTAGAGCCAGGTACGTGGGTAACTCACTCCCGTAATACTAGTTACTCAGGTAGCCAAGATCTGAGGATCACTTCAAAACCAGCCTGGGCAGGAAAGTCCATCAAACCCTTATCTCTAGCCACCAAAAAGCCAGAAATAGAACTATGGCTTAAGTGGTAGAGCACCAGCCTTGAGTGAAAAAGCTAAGGGACAGCACCCAGCCCTTGAGTTCAAGCCCTAGAATGGGCATTAAATCAACAATGATCACACTGCTGCTAACAGTGTGATGACCTGAAATTACAAGTAATAATTTTTCCTGATTTTCCATATATCATTCTTAGGTTTCCGTGGCTTAATATATGATAATAAAACTGAATCTCTGAGGACCATTAACCTCCTTCAGCGAATGAATATTTACCAAGAGGTTTTTCTCAGCATTTTATATAGAGTTCTACCAATTCAGGTATGTTGTAGTTTGTGTCACTGAATTGTTAATGTTGGATAAAAGTCAAAGTCTGCTCTTTGGATCAGAAAGGTTCCATTGGGCAATTCTGATCTTCCACAGGCTTGGGAGAATATCAGCAATAGCCTAGTTTTCTCTACTTATATCATGAACTTTGATTTCTATACAGTAGTGCTTTTTTGCTTATCTTTTATAAGCTAAAAGATTTTTCATAGGAAATCAGCAGTACCCTAGTTTTCTTCATGTGTGTTAGAAACCTTGATTTCTACAAGATACTGCTTTTTATGTTTTTGTATGTTAACAGTTTTTTCTTTAGAGATGCTTCCTGTCATACACCACAATAAATGTGTACAGTTTACAAGATGATAAATATTCATTTTTATTTATCTGTAAGTAGTTGAACAACAAGTTTCAATTCAACATATCAATTTATAAGTACAGTGCATCTTGATGAGTATCACTCTTTCATCCTTCTTCTCATCTCTCCCAACCCCACCCAACCCCTGGTTCCGTTTTCATGTTTATACATTGAGTTGCATGACTGTTTTTCTTTTTTGGGGGGGGTCCGGTTGTGGGGCCTGAACTCTGGACCTGGGCACTGTCCCTCAGCTCTTCACTTCAAGGCTAGCGCTCTACCACTTGAGCCACAGCACCACTTCCGGCTTTTTTCTTTTTTCTTATGTGGTGCTGAGGAATCGAACCCAGGGCCTCATGCATGCAAGGCAAGCGCTCTACCACTGAGCCACCTTCCCAGCCTGACACAGATATTTTTTTGTTTGTGTTCTGTTTTGTTTTAGTACTGGTAATGCAGCTAGAATTCAAAGCCTAGGAATTGTCCTTGAGCTTTTTCACTCCAGGCTAGTGCTCTATGACTTACAGCTCCATCTCTGCCTTTTTGGTAGTTCATTGGAGATAAGACTCTCATAGACTCTCCTGCCTAGACAGGCTTCCAACCATGATCCTCAGATCTCAGCCTCCTGAGTAGCTAGGATTATAGACATGAGTTACCAGTGCCCAGCCTGACATACTTTTTAACCGGCAATGGAAGAGGCTTCTCTGACAAACATTTTAATTCTCTCTTACAGAGATACTTAGAGCCCGTTTACTTTTATATTTATACCTTATTTGGACTCCAAGCAATCTATGTCACAGCCCTCTACATCACCAGCTGGCTCCTTAGTGGCACCTGGCTGTCAGGACTATTAGCAGCCCTCTGGTATGTCACAAACAGGTGAGTTGGAATCCGGCTGCCTTTCTTCCTTCCCTGATGATAAGTAAATACAAAGTTACTTTATTTTCAGTGCAGAACAATTTCTACTAGCATATTTGTTTGTTGGGGAGCATTTTCTCTCAGTGGACCTAGTTGATTTTCTCAAGTCTTCTTGTTTGGTCAGATAAGAAGGCCTACTTAGACCTATTTCCAGCTGAGAAGTGGAACACTGAATGGGGGATCAATAACGAAACTATGTGTAGTAAAGTAATTCTTTACCTGTTTGCTCCTTGAGCCATAGTTCTTCAGCCACATTCTCTCATCATTCTTTTCTTTTCTTTTTTTGATGCTTGAACTCAGAACCTGGGTGTTGTCCTTGAGCTTTTTTACTGAAGGCTGGAGCTCTACCACTTAAGTCACAGCTTCACTTCCAGGTTTTGGTGATCAGTTGGATAAGAGTCTCAGGTGTTGGGTGCTGGTGGCTCTTGCCTATAATTCTAGCTACCCAGGAGGCTGAGATCTGAGGATCATGGTTCAAAGCCAGCCTGGGCCACCTAAAAATTTGGAAGTGGAGCTGCAGCTCAAAGCAGTAGAGCACTATCCTTGAGCAAAACTCAGGAAGAGTATACCCAGGCCCTGAGTTCAAGCCTCAGGAGAAAAAAAGGAGCTGGACACCAGTGGCTCACACCTGTAATCCTAACTACTCAGGAGGCTGAGATCTGAGGATCGTGGTTCAAAGCCAGCCCTGGCAAGAAAGTCCATGAGACTCTAATCTCCAATAAACCACCAGAAAACTAGTGGTGCTGTGGCTTAAGTGGTAGCGCACTTTCCTTGAGCTGAAGAGCTGAGGGACAGCGCACAGGCCCAGAGTTGAAGCCCCATGACTGACCAAAAAAAAAAAAAAAAAAGAGTCTCAAGACACTTTCCTGCTCTGCTGACTTCAAACCACAAATCTCAGATCCCAGCCTCCTGAGTAGCTAGGATTCCATATGGGAGCACATGGTACCCAGAAAGGGTGTGAGACTCTCAATTTCAGTTAACTAACAAAAAGCTGAAAATGGAAATGGCCAAAGGGGCTGATAATTATGGTGGTAGTGGTATTGATGATATCAATACAAGTATTACTAAGAATCAGTGACCAGAATCTAAGTCTATTTGTAACCTATCTTTCACTCTAAGAAATCTTTGAGGAAATGACTAAAAAGCTGTCGTTTGGGCCTTTATGTTTTCTCTGTGCAGGATAGATACCACAAGAGTTGAGTTCACCATCCCACTGAGGGAGAACTGGGCACTGCCATTCTTTGCAATTCAGATCGCAGCAATTACTTATTTCCTAAGGCCAAATTTACAGGCTCTTTCCGAAGTAAGTTTCTGATGACTAGTTTGTTCAACCTGTGTATTCTTTTTCTTTCAACAGTACTAGGATTTGAACCAGGAACTTCACCCTATGCTAGGCAGGTGCTGTGCAGTATGAGCCACACCTCCAGCCCTGAATCAAGTTGCTGTGAACCTTTCTCTGTTTTCCTCAGTTCCCCAGTTTGACTTAAGAAGCATAGAGTTGAGCATGTAGACCAGGTGGCTCACACCTATAGTCCTAGCCACTCAGGAGGCTGAGATCTAAGGCTCACAGTTTAAACCCAGCCCAGGCAGAAAGTCTATGAGACTCTTATCTCCAAATAAGCATCAAAAGTTCCAGAAGTAGAGCTACAGCTCAAGTGGTGGAATGCTAGCCTTGAATTAAAAAAAGCTCATTAACAGTGTACCCAGGCCCTGAGTTCAAGCCTCAGGGCCAGCACCAAAAAGAAAAAAGAAAAAAAAGAAGCTTAGAAAAATGCGATATACATAGTGTTCCAATCCATGTGAACAGTTTGTGTTCCATGACTGAATGTTTCACTGGAGTTAAAGTTTGCTTTCTCTGAGCTTTTCTTTCTTTGCAAAGAAAATGTTTTCTTTCTTTCTTTCTTTGAATGTTAAGAAATGTGGCCCGCATAGTCTACCCTTAAATAGCTACAGCAAAGCCCACACACAATTTCTGTGCAACTGTCAGGATTTTTAAGCCTCTGCTCTTGAGCTGTGATTTGGTACATGATCGCCTCCAGAATCCTGTGGAATACACATACCGTATGTGAATATTTATATGCAGAGTGTCACTTGAGAATGTTCAGAATTTAAGAAATGCAGGGGTTTTCAGAGCAACAGTTAACAGTTTTGCTATTTGGTTCATAGAGATATGGGCTGCTTTTGAGAAAACTTGTCTGCAGAGCTATTTTATTCCTAGAGACATGTAAGTTATACCCAGGTTTTTCTTTCTCTTTTTTCTTTAACAGAGGCTGACGCTTCTTGTGGTCTTCATATCAACTTTCCTCTTCAGTCTGACCTGGCAATTTAATCAGTTTATGATGCTAATGCAAGCATTAGTGCTATTCACCCTCGACTCCCTGGATATGCTACCAGCTGTAAAGGTGTGTCTCATTTACCTCTTCTTCCTTTTTGGACAGTCTTGTGGGTTGGCATTTTAAGTCACCAAGAGAAACCAGGTGCTGTTGACTCACACCTGTAATCCTAGCTACTCAGGAGGCTGAGATCTCTAGTGAGGTTCAAAGACAGCTCGGGAAGGAAAGTCTGTGAGACTATTATCTCCAATTAAGTACCAAAAAAAGCCAGAAGTGGAAATGTAGCTAAAGTGGTAGAGTGCCGTCTTTGAGCAGAAAAGGCCATGGAAGAGCACTAGGACCTGAGTCCTCAAACCCCAGTACCAGTACCAAAAATAGTAATATAGGGCTGGGAAGGTGGCTCAGTGGTAGAGTGCTTGCCTTGCATGCCTGAGGCCCTGGGTTCGATTCCCCAGCACCACATAAGCAAAAAGAAAAAAGCCGGAAGTGGCGCTGTGGCTCAAGTGGTAGAGCGCTAGCCTTGAGCTGAAGAGTTGAGGGACAGCGCCCAGGCCCAGAGTTCAGGCCCCACGACCGGACCCAAAAAAAAAAAAAAAAAAAGAAATATATATTAACATCTACTTGATAGGTGTTCTGCATATTCTTTTCTCTAAATAGTTTGTGTTTTGTTTGTTTTGTTTATTTGTTTGTAATGAACATATACTTCTTTTAGAACTAGGATACAGAATAAAAGGTAGTATTTTTTCCATATAATGATGGTTTACTACTGATAAGCCTAGCTACTCAGGAGGCTGAAATCTGAGGATCACGGTTCATTCAGGCATGAAAGTCCATGAGTCCCTTATCTCCAATTAACCACCAAAAAAAGCTAGAAATGGAGCAATGACCCCAGTGATAGATTTGTGTGAAAAAACTCAAGGACAGTGCCCCAAAACTGGTGCGTGGGTGTCCGCGTGCACATACACACACACACACACACACACACACACACAGGTACTATTTTGGCCATACACACAAAGTTTTAAAATAATATAGCTAATTTATGTGATAATTCCATTCTGAACTTTGTCTTTTATATTTGATATTTTTCTTTTTTTTTTTTTCTTTTTTTTTTTGGGTCCGGTCATGGGGCCTGAACTCTGGGCCTGGGCGCTGTCCCTCAACTCTTCAGCTCAAGGCTAGCGCTCTACCACTTGAGCCACAGCGCCACTTCCAGCTTTTTTCTTTTTGCTTATATGGTGCTAAGGAATCGAACCCAGGGCCTCATGCATGCAAGGCAAGCGCTCTACCACTGAGCCACCTTCCCAGCCCCTGCCTTTTGTATTTGAAACAATGTGGGTGTGAATGGTTAGAAGTATCAGATTTTTAAGGATGAACATTTTTATCATGAAAAGATCCCGAGTTACAAAACCCAATTGCTACTCTCAGCTCTGAAAATAACTAGCTCTTTAAACTCCGGCAAGTGATTTAACTTTTGAGTCTTACTTTCTTCATAAATTAGAATCACTTATCTCAAAATCATGTCAAATGCAAAAGACTCAGATTATCAGCATGGAAAAAGGCAAGACAAACCCAGAGCTCAGTATGGTGACAAGAAGCAGTTTCTTGCCAGTCAGGGCAGGAAAGTCCATGAGACTCTCATTTCCCAATTAACTACCAAAAAGTCAGAAGTGGAGGTGTGGTTCAAGTAGTAGAAACTCAGCCTTAAGTAAGAAAAGCTAAGGGAGGGCTGGGATGTTGCTCAGTGGCAAAGCACTTGCCTAGCAAGTGAAACGTCCTGGGTTCAATCCCCAGTACCAGAAAAGACAAAACAAAAAAAAAAGGAAGGGTCAGCATCCCGTCCTTGAATTTAAGCCCCAGGACTGGCGTACCAAAACAAACAAACAAACCCAAATATACAACTTGGCTTTTTTTACTCAACACTGGTGCTCTACCATTTGAGCCACAGCTCCACATCTGGCTTTTTGCTTGGTTAATTGGAGACAAACCACCATTCATCAGATCTCAGCCTTCTGAGTAGCTAAGATTACAGGCATGAGTATATTGTGTTTTTTTGAAGCTGTTTTCTGAACATTATGTGTAACTTGAGGTGTATCCAGCTGGGGAGCAAGCTGTAGCTATATGCTGATAAAAATCCACTTAACCACCTAATCTTTGCTCTTTCAGGTGACCTGGCTGTATGGGATCCAGATAGCAGGCTTACTCCTTGTCTGTGTCCTTCAGTTTTTTAACTCCATGATTCTGGGATCCTTGCTTATCAGTTTTAACCTGTCAGTGTTAATTGCAAGAAAATTTCAGGTAGGACCTGAGGGATATTTTTTTTGTACGTTTTTTATTATAAAAATGTTACATGACAGCTGGGTGCTGGTGGCTCACGCCTGTAATCTTAGCTACTCAGCAGGCTGAGATCTGAGGATCACTGTTCAAAACCAACCCCAGGCAGGAAAGTCCGTGAGACTCTTATCTCAAATAAACCACTAGAAAACCAGACATGGCGCTGTGGCTCAAGCGGTAGTGCGCTCTTCTTGAGCTGAAGAGCTGAGGGATAGCGCCCAGGCCCAGAGTTCAAGCCCCACGACCGACCGACAAAAAAAAAGTTACATGAACAAGGTAATAAGTACATTTCTTATTGAGCATTGTTGCCTCCTCCTTTGTTTTCCCCAACCATCCTTTCCCTCCCACCTCCACAAATCCCCTCCCCCTACATCTCATAGTTACAATGGGTCAACCTGTATCCTTCATTATTTAAGCATTTTGGTTTTTTTCCCTTCCCCTCCCTGAATTAGAGAATTGTATATACAAGATGTAGGGCACAAACATCAAATACAGTGAAAATAGGGGTTATACTGTGGGGGAGAACATACAAAGCAACAAAAATTCACATGGTACATTATGAATACATTAGAAACAACTGAGAGATATTTTTGTCCTTAATCCAGTAGAGCCTTACTTTCCAACAGCCCCCAAGTGAAACATTTTTGACCCAGTTACCCATTAAAAGCACAAGTCGCATTATTTGCTTTGTTTTTGGGGGTGTGGGGTTTGTTTGGTTTGGTTTGGCTTTTTTGCCAGTCCTCTTAAGTTCATCCTGCACACTCTTAGCTTTTTTCTTCAAGACTGGTACTCTACCACTTGAGCCACATCCATACTTCTGGCTTTGTTGGTTTATGGGAGGTAAGAGTCTCATCTGCCTGGGTTTACCATCAAATCTAAATCCTCGGATCTTAGCCTTTGACTGTCTAAATCCTGCACCTTCACTTCATATTGGCAATTACTGTTTCTCATAGGATTAAAGCCTGAATTTAATTCAGGAATTAGCCACAGATGCTTAGTTAAATGTCATTGATTTCACATTGAAATGAAAGAGCCTGCTGCTGGTAAGAACTTGTTCCTTGGTCATTCAATTTGGTAGACACCATTTTGTTGCTTAATTATAATTACACCGTCTTTTCTCCATCTTTCCTTACTCTATTATTGATTTTCTAACTGAATTAATATTAGCTATCTTAGGCTGGCACCAGTGGTAGAGAGCTAGCCTTGAGCTAAAGAAGCTCAGGGATAGCAAGTGCACAGGCCCGGGTTCAAACCCCAGGACCAACATATACCAACATATACACACACACACACACACACACACGCACGCACGCACGCACACACACAAATTAACTCTCTTTTAGAGTTAAGAATCCAAATAGCTTTAGAAATATAAGACCTTTTCCAACCAGGTGTGGTGGTATATGTCTGTAATCCCAGCTACTCTGGGATGCAAGTTAATAGAAGGTTGGTTTAAGGCCTGCCCAGCTGGATGTACAAAACCAGATGATAACAGAATAGGCTGCAATTGTGACTCAAATGGCAGAGTGCTTATACAGCAGATGGGAAGCCCTGAGTCCAATCTCCAGAACCATTAATAATAATTAAGCAAGGAATATTTCCTAAAGTCTTACAAAATCATGTTTGGTCTAGCTCTGGTAGATCATGCTGTACTCTTAGCTTCTTAGGAGGCTGAAACTTGAAGATAAAAAGGCAGCTCAGGCTGGAAAGCCCATGGAACTCTTATTTCCACTTATCCACCAAAAAAGCCAGAAGTGGAGGTATGGCTCAAGTGGTAGAACACCAGCCTTGGATGAAAAAGCTAAAGGACAGTGCCCAGGCCCTGAGATCAAGTCTCAATATTAGCGCGCGCGCACACACACACACACACATTTCCTCATCTTACAAATGTTCCTCTTAAGGGAATGGTTGAATAGAAAAATAGAAATGTTAATATGGCATATATATCCTAATGATATCATCATTTAAATCCTTATGTAATCTCGTCTTCTGTTTATGAAGTTATAGTAAAACTTAAGAATTAAAATACATCTCTTTTAATTTCTAGAAAAACCTAAAAACGGGGACTTTTCTTACTAGGATTGGGAAACTTCTGCTACATTTACTTACAGTTTTTTGTTTGACGCTTTTTCTCAACAATGTTATTAAGGTAAGTTGATAGTGACATATTTAATGTATTTTTGATTACTTCTGGCACTGGAGACAGTTTTTGCAACACTTAACTTCAAGTAATTAAATTCTTGTTTTTTTAAGCTGATTAGCTCCAGGCTTTGTTTTAACTTCTGGTAAAGATGATGATTTTGTTGGTTTAATCATTCATTTTTTTCCTCTTTAATTTTTTTCTTAGCATAACTTAATTGTATGGCAGGGTTTCATTATGATATTTTCATACATGCATGTAATGTGCTTTGATTAAATTGACTATATTTCTCTTCTCTTTTTTTTTTTTTTGAGATGGTACTGGGCTTGAACTCAGGACATAGATGCTATCCCTTAGCTTTTTCACTCAAGGCTAACACTTTACCATTTGACACACAACTCAACTTCCAGCCATTTGGCAGTTAATTAGAGATAAGAACTCACAAACTTTTTTTTGCCTGAGCTGACTTTGAACCATGAATATCAGAATCAGCCTCCTGAGTAGCTAGGATTACAGATTTGAACTGTCAGCACCCAACTAGCTCACATATGGATTGGGAAACTCTCAAGGATGCAGACCTAAAATACTAACAGCAATTTTTGTGTTCTCTCTCTCAACAGAAAATGCTTAACCTGAAGTCAGATGAACACATATTTAAATTTCTAAAGGCAAAATTTGGGTTTGGAGCAACAAGGTATGACTGAATTGAAAAATCTACATGTGTTATTTTCTTTTTCTTTGTGTGTGTGCGTGCACACACGCGCTGAGCCTTAAGCTAACCTCTGGGTTGTGGCTGTCCCTGAGCTTTTGTGTTCAGGGCAAGCGCACAACCTCTTGAGCCACAGCTCCACTTCTTGCTGTTGTGGTCAATTGTGGTAAATTGGAGATAAGAGTATCCATAGATTTTCCTCAAACCTCTATCCTCAGATCTCAGCCTCTAGAATAGCTAGGATTGCAGAAGTAAGCCGCTGGCACCTGGCTTGCAGGCTGATTTTTGAGGAAGAAAATAATGTCATTTCCTTGCCTCACATTTGTGACTTTGCTCTCCCTCTGTTGCCCAGGGATTTTGATGCAAATCTGTATCTGTGTGAAGAAGCATTCGGCCTGCTGCCTTTTAACACTTTTTCAAGGCTGTCAGATACTCTGCTCCTCTATGCCTACATCTTTGTGCTCTCCATCACTGTGATTGCTGCCTTTGTCGTTGCCTTTCACAAACTCAGGTATGGAGACTTGCAGGAACTTTACATTCTTTTTCTTGTGCTGGTATTGGAGTTGGAAGTCAGGGCCCTTAGCTAGTCTGCTCCAGGTTGGTGTTCTTACCACTTGAGCCACAGCTTTTTACTTCTGGAATTTTTTTTGCATGTGTGTGTGGTTAATTAGAAATAAGAGTCTCGCTAAGTTTCCTACCCAGGCTGGCTTTTGATTACCAGTTCTCAGACTCTTAAGTAACTAGGATTACAGGTGTGAGCCCCTAGCACCCAGCTTACTTGTGGCTTGAAGACTTTTCTGTTTCCTAAGTGTTGTTGTTGTTTTTTTTAATTTTTTTTAGGGGGGGGTCCAGTCGTGGGGCCTGTACTCTGGGCCTGGGCACTGTCCCTCAGCTCTTCAGCTCAAGGCTAGCGCTCTACCACTTGAGCCACAGCACCACTTCCGGCTTTTTTCTTTTTTTGCTTATGTGGTGCTGAGGAATCGAACCCAGGGCCTCAGGCATGCAAGGCATGCGCTCTACCACTGAGCCACCTTCCCAGCCCCCTTTTTTTTTTGGTCAGTCGTGGGCCTTGATCTCTGGGCCTGAGTGCTGTCCCTCAGCTCTTCAGCTTAAGGCTAGCGCTTTACCACTTGAGCCACAGTGCCACTTCCGGTTTTCTGGTGGTTTATTGGAGAAAAGAGTTTCACGGACTTTCCTGCCCGGGCTGGCTTTGAACTGCGATCCTCAGATCTCAGCCTGAGTAGCTAGGATTATAGGCATTAGCCACCAGCACCCGGCTTTCCTAAGGGTTTTTGTTTTACTTTTTGGTTTTGTTTTTAATTTCCTTTTAAATAGCAAGTAGTATTACTCATTTGTGTTTTGTTTCATGTTCTAAGGCATATAAAGTTGGAGTGAGCCATAATTAATTAGTATCTGCTAAAGGCTTTAAGTAATAATTGTATTGTTTAAATATATATAATCATCTTGACCAATATACTGAAAGAGGAAAATCCACTCCTGGATTTTTGCTGGTTAATTGGAGATAAGAATCCTGTTTTCCTGCCCAGGCTGGCTTCCAACTGTGACCTGAGATCTCAGCCTCTTGAGTAGCTAGGTTACAAGCATGAGCCACCAATACCCTGTTCAGTTTTTTGCTGTTGCCTTTTTTGCTGTTCTCTTTTAAAGAATTGAATCACTTTAAATGTGTACTTAATCTGCTGAGAGCTTATAATAATTTTAATCACTGATATGTTTATATTGCAACAAACATGTGTTAGGAACAAATCCCAAATTGATAAGCACTAGTTTATTTCATTTTAGGGGAAACATAGGATTAACTAAATTAAAGGGGTACATTTTAGCTTTGTTTTGTGTATCTGCTGTTTTGTTCAGTGATTCTGGAATCCAAGAGCAGGAGGGTAAGATGGGAAGATGCTCCATTGACCTGAAGCCAGATACTGCTTACAACCTAATACACACTGTGCTGTTCGGATTCTTGGCATTGAGTACAATGAGGTATTTTATTTTTATCTTGTCCATTCCTGTGATTCAGTTTTTAATCTAACCACTACTGAAGTGACTTTGTATGTGCATGTGCACACACACTCATACACACACCAGTCCTGGGACTTAATAAGCTCAGGGCTTGGGTACTGTCCCTTAGCTTTTTCATTCAAGACTGGTGCTCTACCACTTGAACCACAGCTCCACTTCCAGCGTTAGATGGCTAATTGGAAATAAGAGTCTCACAGGCATTCCTACCTGGACTGGCTTCCAACCGAGATCCTCATCTCTCAGCCTCCTGAGTAGCTAGGATTACAGGCATGAGCTACCACCCCTGGCTTCCTGCAGAGTTTCATATTAAGTTTTACTACCACTGACTATGAATCTGTGTCAGCTCCAGGGGGTGCTGTGAGGAAATGCTGACTTTCTCTCTCTTCCTGTTGTTGCAGAATGAAATACCTCTGGACCTCTCACATGTGTGTGTTTGCTTCGTTTGGCTTATGCAGCCCTGATATCTGGGGGTGGCTTCTGAAGTCCGTCCGTCTTCATAACCCAAAAGGGGTCAGTGTTGACCTATTTCCATGATAACTTTTTCATGATTCATAATATTTCTTTCCTATTGGCTCTGTTTTACTTAATTTTTTTTTAGTAGAGTCAGTATGTCAGATAAGATAAATACTAAAATGTGAAACTAGAGGGTGCTGCTGACTCAACGCCTGTAATCCCGGCTCCTTAGGAAGCTGAGATCTGAGGGTCCCAATCCACAGCCAGTCTGGGCAGGAAAGTCCATGAGACTCTTATCTCTAATTGACTAGCAAAAAAATCAGCAGTGGAGCTGTGGTTCAAGTGATAGGGTACCAGCCTTGAGTAAAAAAACTACAGGACAGTGTCCAAACAGAATTCAAGCCTCAGTGCTGACATAAAAAAATAGAAACTAGAAATAGGTCAGTGACATACTAAACTTTCCTAAGAGATTATTTTTTAATAATTTCATTGTTGTTCTGGTCCTGGGGCTTGAAATTGGAGCCTGGTACTGTCCTTTCCCTGTTCTTTTTTTGCTCAAGGCTAGCTCTCTACCACTTGAGCCATAGATCCAGATTTTGCTTTTTTAAGAAGCTAATTGGAAATAAGAGTCTCCTTGATTTTGTTGCCTGGATTAGAACCATGCTCCTCAGATCTCATCCTCCTGAGTAGCTAAGATTACAGGCCTGAGCCACTAACACTCAATGTCACGATTCCTTTAATCTTATTTGTGTTACTCTTTTTTTTTTTTTTTTTCTGGTTGTGGGGCTTGACCTCTGGGCTTGGGTGCTGTCCCTGTGCTCTTCAGCTCAAGGCTAGCGATCTACCGCTTGAACCACAGCGCCACTTCCAGTTTTCTGGTGGTTTATTGGAGATAAGATTCTCATGGACTTTTCTGTCCCGGCTGGCTTTGAAACGTTACCCTCAAATCTCAGCCTCCTGAGTAGCTAGGATTACAGGCGTGAGTCACCAACACCTGGCTTTGCGTTATTCTTGTTTGAAGAGGGCATGGGACATGTTTTTACAAAGCAAAAGGTAGATGTTCTTAAAATACTTGCAACCTAAAACGTGTCTCTCTGATACAGATCTGCGTCATACGATACTCCGTTCCAGTGTTGACACTGCTCTACCTGTGCTATAAGGTAAGACCAATTTTCTTATTTCTTAGGGGTTCCTCTGGCCAGCAGAGTCCTTGCTCCGACTCTATGCATTTTATGTGTGGTCTGGCAGGGTTTGTGGAATTCATAACACCTTCTCAGTTGGCATTGACAGGAAAACCTATATATTTCCCAAATAGTTTTTAACAAGTAAAATTAAATCATTCTAATTTTGACTACAGTTCAACTGATGAAAAGTCAGAAAGTGTCTTCAGACCTATTTTGAAATGATTAAAGTGGTTGTTTTTTTGTTTTGTTTTGTTTTTTATTTTTTCCTTGCTAAGTGAGTTAAAGTAATACAATTTAAAAGAGCTGGTGACAGTGGCTCACACCTATCATCCTAGATACTCAAAAGGCTTAGTTCTAAGGATTGGTGTTCAAACCCCAGCAGGATAATAAAGTCAGTGAGATTCTTATTTCCAGTTAATCACCAGAAAGCTGCAAGTGAGCTGTGGCTTAAGTGGTAGAGCACCAACCTTGAGTGAAAAAGTTAAGCACATGCATGTTTGTGCACGCACGCGCGCACATACATACACAAACACACACACACACACACATATGTACACAAAAATGGATTAGAGGATTGAGAAGGCATCTTACTTGGTTCTACATATTTTACTAGATGCTGCCTTCATAAGAGGTCTGGAGATATACATACATACATATATATACACACATACATATGTGTATGTGTATGTGTCAGAGATTAAGCTTTGGGTGCTAAGTGTGGTGCTATACACCTGTAATCCCAGCAGTTGGGAAACTGAGACAGAAAAATCAAGTTCAAGATCAAGCCTAGGTTGCATAGTGAGACCTTGTCTCAAAAAAAATCTGCCAGGCACCAATGCCTCACGCCTGTAATCCTAGCTACTCAGGAGGCTGAGATATAAGGATCAAGGTTCAAAGCCAGCCCAGGCAGGAACATCCATGAGACTCTTATCTCCAGTGAATCACCAAAAAACCTAAGTGGCACTGTGGCTCAAGTGGTAGGGTGCTCACCTTGAGCTAAAGAGCTCAAGGACAGCACCCAGGCCCAGAGTTCAAGTCCCACAACAACAACAAAAATCTGCTTTTTTTGGTTCATTTCTCAACCTTTTTTTCATCTGAATAGGAAGAAATGAATTTTTTCATCTTCCCAACTAAGCAATTTTGCTTCATTTCTGAGTTCCCTTACCAGAGACAGGAATCAACTGAATGGCTTGACTGCTTTGAGATTCTTTCATCCTGACTTCAAGACTTACAGGCCTTAAATTACCACCTAGAAAATGCAGATTGCTTCATCCACTTGAACTCTTGGCCTCTTTTAAAAGAAGAACTATTAGACAGGTGTCCAATAGCTCATGTAATCCTAACTACTCAAGAAGCTGAGATCTCAGTTCAAAGCCAGCCTGGGCAGGAAAGTCTGTGAAAGTCTTACCTCCAATAAACTGCTCAGAAAAAGCCAGAAGTGGCACTGTGGCTCAAGTGGTAGAGTGCTAGCCTTGAGCACAGAGAGGCTCAAGGATAGTGCCCAAGCCTCGAGTTCAAGCACCAGTACATGTGTGTGTGTATACACACACATATATATTACATATACATATATGTGTGTGTGTGTATACATATATATTTAGATTCTTTTCCTTCAAGTTTTATATTTTGAGGTCTAACAAGTGGAATTCAAACTATGATGTGGATGTTTTGACTTGGGAGGCCACGCACATGTGGAGGCTGGCCCTCATCCAAGTGGATCAGCTTTGTGTTTTCTTTGTTTTTACTTTCATGGAAGATTCCGAAAATCAAAGGCTTTAGACTAGAAAACATATATTTGCTATTTATAAGTTGATGAGCGACAAGAATTCCCTTCTCCAGAAATGGCAGCTCTGGTCATCATTATTGTCTTGCTACAAAAAATGTGAGGCTCCTATGTCCACTTAACCACCAGAAATCTAGAAGTGGAACTGTGGCTTAAGTATTCAAGCCATGTGGATACTTCATCTTCTCATAGTTTGACACAGTATAAAATCACAGAGAAGCCAACTGCTAGTGGCTCACGCCTATAATCCTAGCCTATTGAAGAAACTAAGTCCTGAAGATCATGGTTCAAAGCCAGCCTGGGTAGGAGATTCTTATCTTCAATGAACTACAAAATAAAGCCAGACTCTGATCTCCCAAGTAACCACCAAAAAGCTAGAAGTGGAGCTGTAGCTCAAGTGGTAAAGTGCCAGTCTTGATTGAAAAAGCTAAAGGACAGTTCCCAGGCCCCGAGTTGAAGCCCCAATACCAGCACATGCATGTACACATGCATGGGTATGTACACACCCCACACACACAACCTAGTCCTAAAATTAGCCTGAGCTGGGGAAGATGTTGGAAACTTCCCTGGGCTCAGCTCCTTGATGCTGGAAGCCTGCAGAGGGAAGTGGGTTCTGAATCCTGGCCACTGTATCTGCAGCTCACACACAGACAGCCCGCTTCCCTTTCTTCCATTCAGTCTTCTTGCTTTCCGTGGGATGGGGTGGATTGGTTTTTGTTTTATTTTGTTTTTAATTCCAGTTCTGGCCAGGAGTGATGGATGAGCTCTCTGAGTTGAGAGAATTCTATGACCCAGATACAGTGGAGCTGATGACCTGGATTAAGTAAGAGGATTTTTTTTTAAAAAAAAAAAAAGCATTTACATCTGTGAGTTACTTTTTCACATCACTGTAGAGCAAAGCCATTTGTTTTGAGGGGTTTTGTTTGGTTGCCTTTCTTTTTTCTCTGAATCTAATTGTAAACATTCATCTTTTTTATTTTTCTTTAAAACTGCATATTTAGAAATAACTCTTTGCATCCAAAAACTATCAGGCCAGACACCTGTATCTCACACCTGTAATCCTAGCTACCCAGGAAGCTAAGATTTGAGGACTGGGGTTCAAAACCAGGCTAGGCAGAAGAGTCTGTGAGACTCTTATCTCTAATTAACCAGCAAAAAGCCAGAAGTAGAGGTATAGCTCAAGTGGTAGGGCTCCAGCCTTAAACAAAACAAAACAAAAAAGCCAAAGGAAAACAAGAGGCCCTACATTTAAGCCTCAGTACTGGTACCAAAACAATAAATAAATAGGGCTCAGAAATGTTGGATCCAACTATATTCCAAATGCCAAATTAAAATGGGAATAAATTTCTACTTACCTCTGTTAAAATATACAGTTTTAATAAAGATAATACTGGCACAGATTTTGTTCTTGGCCAGTTTTATCTTTCTTTTCATTTTTAGTACCATTCACATTTTCTATAAATGCTAACACTTAAAAGTATCCTTTCCTTGTTAATGATTTTAAAAGTACTGTGTAGACTATAGTTAATTAGAGTCATAATAGTTCGCTGCAGAGTTCATGTTAATAACATTGCTTCAGTTCTGGCTTATTAGAAAATTTCAAACACAAAAACTGGAGCTTTTTCTCTGACTTTTTATGGGAGTAGGGGAGGTGTTTTAGTACTGGGGCTTGAACTCAGGAGCTGGGCACTCTCCCTGAGCTTTTTTGCCTAAGGCTGTTGCTCTGTCACTTGAGCCACAGCTCCACTGCCAGCTTTTTGGCGGTTAATTGAAGAGAATTGTCTCATAGACTTTCTAGCCCCAGCTGGCTTTGAACTTCAGTCCTCAGATCTCAGCCTCCTGAGTAGCTAGGGTGAGAGGTATTCAGTCACCAGCACCTGGCTCTTTTCCTGAGCACAAAATATTTTGCATCGTACTGGTTGCTCTTGTTTGGTTTCTTTGCCTCGGCCCCAAGCTGCAGAATTAGAACATATGTTTGAAAGCTTTGTTCATGAACCCTGACTGAACTGGTAACATTCCAGTACACTGTGATACTATATTCCCCTTCTTTATAACCAGAAAGCAGCTCCATAATTGCCCACAGGGAAAAAGGTGCTGCACCTCTGGAAAGCATTACCTGAGCCGTCTCCATCACTTAGAATTTCCACAGTCCTCTCAGCACTCACTCTTGACTAATGTTCACTAACCAGTACAATTTAGCACTCCTTGTGTATTAAGAGATGGTAAATGTTTGATAGCTTTGGTCTCTTGAGTGCAATAGGGAGATTTATGTCTAAAATATATATGTGTGGCTTTGGTCCCAGTGTTGGACTGGGTTTGACTAGATGCAATGAATATAATTTTTCCCCTATTTCCAGTGCCGAGAACCATGAGCTACACTTTGTCTTGGCTTATTTAATTTTCAATCATGGCCCACGATTATAGAGTAAATAATTCCTCCGGTATTTATTGGATGTAGGAGAGGAAGGTTATTCATATGTAAGAAAAGCAATCACTTTCGCATTAACTGTAGTCAACTGAAAGCTGGTGGTGCCTGCACTTGAAGGGAACTGGTATTTTCTGTTGTTAGGATTGCACCAGAGGCAGCGTTGCAGGCTGTCCTCTTTCTGGTGGCTCTTTCAGACTTGCCCAGGCTAGCATTGCATGAAGCTCCTGTCCATCAGGAATTCCTGCTAGTCATTACAAATGTACTCCAAGGGGGGCTGGGAAGGTGGCTTAGTGGTAGAGCTCTTGCCTTGCATGCCTGAGGCCCTGGGTTCAATTCCTCAGCACCACATAAGCAAAAAGAAAAAAGCCGGAAGTGGTGCTGTGGCTCAAGTGGTAGAGCACTAGCCTTGAGCTGAAGAGCTGAGGGACAGCGCCCAGGCCCAGAGTTCAGGCTCCACGACCAGACCCAAAAAACAACAACAACAACAACAACAAATGTACTCCAAGGCTGGGCTCCAGTGGCTCATGCTTGCCATCCTAGCTACTTGAGAGGCTGAAATCTGAGGGCTGGGGTTCAAAGCCAGCCTGGACAGGAAAGTCCATGAGACTCTTATCCCCAATTAACCACCCCAAAGGTGGAAGTAGAGTTGTGGCTTAAGTGGTAGAGCTCTAGCCTTGAGCAAAAGATGCTCAGAGACAGTGCCCAGGCCCTGAGTTCAAGCCCCAGCACACATACACATACACACAAAGGTATTCCAGCAGAACCCAAGGATAGCTTAGGCTGTCTTAGATTGGTATGCACTTATTCATGGTGCCTTTATTTTCATACTTTCTCTCAAAGAAGGAGGAGACAGTTATGCTGGTAATGATGATGATGAAGGATTTTTGCAGTACAGGCATTTGAACTCTGAGCCTTGTACTTGCCTCGCCTTCAACCCTTTTTACACTGCAGTTATTTTTCAGATAGGACCTCATGTTTTTGCCTCGGGCCAGCATTGAGAGCATAATCCTGTAGATAGCTTCCCAAGTAGCTGGTGTGACAGGTTCACACACGCCACTACGCCCAGCTGATTTGTTGAGATACTAAGCTTTTACATAGACTGGCCTAATACTACAAACTTCTCATTCCACCTCTCAAGTAGTTGGTTTTACAGATGTGAGCCATCTCACCCAGCAAAGGTGAGGAGAGGTCTCTTCCTGGCTTTGGAAAACTATGGATGAGCTATTAATATGCAAGCATATATTGGTCAGTATTCAGTCTCTGTAAAAGAAGAGGTCTTTACTTTTTTTGTCTATTAACAGGGACTTGAACTCTAGGCCTAAATGCTGTCCCTGACTGCTTTTGCTCAAGGCTAGTACTCTACCACTTGAGCCACAGCTCCACTTCTGCTTTCTTGGTAGTTTATGGAGATAAGTCTCCCGGCGGGGCTGGCAATGTAGCTTCGTGGTAGAGTACTCGTATCACATGTATGAAGCCCTGGGTTTGATTTCTCAGAATCACATACACAGAAAAAGATAGAAGTGGTGCTATGGCTCAAGTGGTAGAGCGCTAGCCTTGAGCAAAAGAGGCTCAAGAACAGTGCCAGGCCTTGAGTTCAGTCCCCAGGACTGGCAAAAAAAAGTCTCTCAGACTTTCTTGCAGGGGTTGGCTTCAAACTGTGATCCTCAGATCTCAGCCTTCTGAGTAGCTAGGATTACAGGTGTGAGCAACCAGTACCATCCGAGCAGTTGGCTGTTTTTCTATAATTCACAGCAAGTGAAAGATTCACATTGTTCTAAAAATGCACTCCTATTGTGATCTAATCTTGACTATTTTCCCCCAAACAATTCTTTAAATCGAAATGATCACTTTTGTAAAAATAGCTGCCAGGCATGTTTGTAGAATAAGCTTAAGTGATGATGAATATATGCCAAACAAGGGCCTATTTAGACACAAAACATGTTGGATTAATCAACATTTAGACATTTAGATTATATTTTTCTCTCTACAAAGACATTTTGATTTTTTCTTTGCTGTTTTAGTAAGCTCTTTTTTTTTTTTAATGTGTGTGTAGCTGGTACTAGATCTTGAACTCGGGTCCTCAAGCTCTCACTTGGCATTTGTTGCTGGTAGGTATGCTACTACTTGAGCTACCTCCCCAGTCCTCTTTTTTTTATTTCTTTTTTTCATAACAGGGTCTCACCAAAGAGACCCTGGTTGTCCTTGAATTCACAATCCTCCTGCTTTAGTCTCCTGAGTGCCGTTTCTAGGGCCCACACTACCATATCCAGAAGATAAATTAAAGACATGTTAATCTGCAAAGATGTTTTATGACAGTCAGGCCCCAGGATGTGGGAGCCCTAGCTACTGTGACTGTGCCCAGTGAGGACTGAGAGGTTGGCTCAACCCACTCCCTCCCTATCCCCAGCCCCTCTGTGGCAGCATCTTATACCCAGCTGCTATATGTTGTATTCCCAGGTAGATGGAGTGTGTGCGCACATGCGTGCACTCATATTTGTCCTGGCTGATTGTTTTCCTGGATACAAAGATTCTAGTCTGGCCAGTTAGACAGATCTGTAGCCAGGCACTGGTGCCTTATGCCTGTCATCCTAGCTTCTACAAGGCTGAGATCTGAGGATAGAGGCTTAAAGATATTCCAAGCTGACAAATCCAAGAGACTCAATTTAAAAAAAAAAAAAATGGCTCCAGTGGTAGAGCATCAGCCTTGAGCAAAAAAAAAAAAAAAAGCTAAAAGGACAGTACTCAAGCCACACACACACACACATATACAGAGTCTGTAGATTTGAATATTTTGAAATATGTCATGTTAAGTACTTGGCTTTACGAGATTTTCAATTGAAATAGTCTCTCTCCAGTAATGAAGCCTACATGTGCAGAATTTTCTCAATAGAACTGAAAAAAAATGCACAAAATTACTTTTGCATTTAATCAAAACTACAAAGAATTTTTATGTTTTAAAGATGATGTAGGCTAAGTTCAGTCTGTAAGTGCCTGTAAACCTCTTTTATATTTAATGAATAATTTTTGGCATTTGCATAACTGAATTTTTGAAGTACAGTTAAACAAATGTTCACCATTATTTTATAATGCTTGGTTAGGCCATTCATTCAATATGAATTGACTTGTTGAAGCTTAGCACTTCAAAAATAAGTAAGATTGGCCAGGTATCAGTGGCTCACACCTGTAATCCTAGCTAGTCAGGAGCTGAGATCTGAGGATTGTGGTTCAAAGTCAACCCAGGCAGAAAGTCTTTGAGACTTTTTTTTTTTTTGAGTCCATTCATGGGCCTGAACTCTGGGCCTGGGCACTGTCCCTCAGCTCTTCAGCTCAAGGCTAGCGCTCTACCACTTGAGCCACAGCGCCACTTCCGGCTTTTTTCTTTTTGCTTATGTGGTTCTGAGGAATCGAACCCAGGGCCTCAGGCATGCAAGGCAAGCACTCTACCACTGAGCCACCTTCCAGCCCTCTTTGAAACTTTTATCTCCAGTGAATCACCAGAAAATCGGAAGTGGAGGTGTGGCTCAAAGTGGTAGAGTGGCAGCCTTGAGCAAAAAACTAAGGGACAGTACCTAGGCTCTGAGTTCTAAAAAATGAACTAGAAATAATACTTCTTTGAAAAGTGATGGGAGCCTAGTCTGGCTGTATTAATTAGGAAACTTATCAAAGACTGGTTATCATAAGATGTTTTTCCAGCCCAGCACATAGGAATAATGCTGTAAGATTTTCTTTTAATAAAGAGTAACTTTTGGCTGCATGCCATGGCTCACACTTGTAATCTTAGCTACTAGAAAGGCAGAAATTGGAAGGATTGCAATTTAAGGCCTATCTGCATAAAAATGTTCTTTAGCCCCCATCTCAACCAGTCACTGGGCACAGTGGTACATAGCCTCCCAGCTGTGTAGGAGGCTCAGATTGGGAAGATTGTGCTTCCAGGCTAGCCTGGACAAACTGGTTCACAAAACCCCGCCTCTGAGGAAAAGACTGGGCATAGTAGTGTACACCCATCATCCCAGCTACTGTGGGAAGTATAAATAGGAGGGTTGTAGTCCAGGCAAGCCCAAGCAAAAAGCAAGACTAGCAAAAATAGCCACAGCCAGACTCCAGTGACTCATGCCTATAATCCTAGCTACTCATGAGCCTGAGATCTAAGGATCATGATTTGATTCCAGCCCAGACAAGAAAGCCTGTGAGACTCATCTGCAGTTAACTAGCAAGAAAGCTGGGAGAAGAACTGTGGTTCCAGCCAAGTGAGAACAAGAGAGCCTAAGTTTATGCCCCCATACCAGACAACAACAACAACAACAACAATAATAATAACCACAGCAAAAAGGAATGGAGACATCTAAAGTGGTGGAGCACCTGCTTTGCAAACATAAGGCCCTGAGTTCAAATTCCAGTCCTGTAAAAAGAGACAGATAGATAGATAACTAATTGCTCCCACAACATTTAGGAAACTGGAAGCTTTGTGAGACTTAACTCAAGATGTGATTGGAGCAAGCTGCAACCTTCCCATGGGCTGTGAATAGATAATGGCGTCTGTCTGCTGATACTGTAAAGCACACCATAGACAGATGTGAGAGCCTTCTTGGTGCTGGTTCCTGTTCCATTTTTCCAACAGTGTTTGGGATGTGAGCGGGTACTGGAGCCTTAGCTGCTTGATTTGCCTTTGTTGTGAAGAAGACCAGCTGGGCAGCTTCAGGCAGGGCGACCATACCAGCCCGGCTTGCTCGCCCCCTGTCAGCTCCCTCTCTGCCTCATGCTCTGCCAGACATGAGAAGCAGGCTCCTTTTCTCCCTGCATCTCAAATCTGTGTCTCGTCAGAGGACGGCCGCTTTTTGGCACTGATATGTGATGTTGTTGTACGATTATCACGAGTGGAATGGCTTGTGCCAGTTGAGAACATACAAGAGGAAAGAAGCTTGGCTTCAAACTCATGGCATTTTCTTTCATTCATATCTGTTTCGATGTAGTCTCTTTGGCAATCATAACGCCCTAGAAATGAGGTTAGCATCATTCACACGACCCAAAAATAAGTCTTTAATAACTACGGAGTGACTTCTGATCTGCAGGGTCTTTTCACTAAGGCCTGTGTACCTCCACACTTTTTGTTTTTAATCAAACCCTTCTGGTCTTGGACCATGTGGGACAAAAGTCAGACTCCCTGTAGATTGTGGGGATCTGGGGACCGAGCACATGTGTCACTGGATGTCAGGATACTGTCAGCCCCTCAGAGCAGCCCAGTTCATGCTCAGCTTCTTTCTGTCAGAATGCATGTTCTAGACCTGAGAATGTGCAGACAAGGTGTCATTTCTCCTATTGTCTGCCCATCCATCCACAAGGCTGATCAGGCTACACGTGAGTTAGGGAGGGGTCTTCAATTTGGGAGGGATAAGTGTCATCACTTAAAACAGGCTGACTTGCTCATAGACATGAAGAGGTCTGTTGGCTTACATTCATGCAAGTGCTGGTGGCCCATGCCTATAATCCTATCTAAACAGGAGGCTAAGATCTGAGGATTGGGATTCAAAGCCAGCCAGCATGGGCAGAAAAGTGTGTGACACTCTTTTATCTCCAGTTAGTCACCAAAAAGCTAGACTGACTGGGTGCTGGTAGCTCAGGAGTTTGGGAGCAGAGGGTGGCGGTTTGAAGCCAGCCTGGACAGGGAAGTCCATAAGACTTTTATCTCTAATGAATCACCAAAAAATTGGAAGTAGAGCTGTGGCTCAAGTAGTAGAGCACCAGACATGAGTGGAAAAAGCTGAAGGATGGTGTCTAGGCTCTGAGTTCAAGCCCCAGGATCAGCACATGCACACTCATGCACACATACACACGGATCAGGAAAAATTACATAAAGTAAACCGAGGTGCAAACCAGAACTCAAACCTTCTTGTTTTCTTCTCCCCTGACTCTTACTGCTCCTTCCAGTAGGTAGGAGGTTGTGAGGGTGTGATTGTCTGATTCAGTGTCTTGGAGGGACATGAATCCACAGCAGGGATTCATGCAGACTGTTTAACATCTTATAGCTCTAACACTCCCAGGAAGGCGGTGTTTGCTGGCAGCATGCAGCTGCTGGCAGGCGTGAAACTCTGTACGGGAAGGACCTTAACCAACCACCCACACTACGAAGACAATGGCCTTCGAGAGCGGACCAAAGCGGTGAGGCCCCTTGTTGCCTGTTCTCACTTCTTGTGAACACCCGGTAGGGGCTTGATTGCCCCGCGCTGGTGAAGACGGGGCTCCCTGCTGCCTGCCTTTGGCCTGCAGCCCAAGGCAGAGCCAGAGGAGAAGAGTCCAGAAGCTTCACATCTCCTGATGGGTGCTCTGATCTTATGTCCATCCACCACACGCTCCACTCAGTGAAAACCCTGACATGGCCAGATGCTGGCGGCTCACGCCTGTCATACTAGCTTCCCAGGAAGCTGATATCTGAGAATCCCAGTCTGAAACCAGTCCAGGCAGGAGAGTCCAGAGGATTCTTTTCTCTACTTACCCAGCACAAAGCCCAAAATGGAGATTCAAGTTGTAGAGCACCAGCCTTGAGTTAAAAAAAAAAAAAGCTAAGGGACGGCACCCAGGCCCTGAGTTCAAGCCCCAATACCAGCACCAAAAAAAGAAAGATTTTACCCAAGACTGTAGCAACCATGACCTCTGATTCTTTGACCTCCTTCAAGACTAGAAAGCTGCTTGCTTCCCCCATGAGCACCTCAGCTAAGAGTTGCAGCCCCCCCTAAACTCCTGGGTGGACAAGAGGTAGGAATGCATGCTTGGGTTCTGCTGCTGTTCTGATGGTATACAGCATAGCAGCAGTAAGGCAGCAAGCGACACCCCCCCCCAACCCCCCCTACCCCCGGTATCCCTGCAAGCCTGGGTCAGGGCTGCCACCCCAGGGGCTTCTCCCTAGGTGTGCTGCCAAAAGATGGGTCTCTTCCTCTGCCCCAGGGCCCCTGGGTTGTCTGATGGCCTCAGCTACCCATGTCATTTGCCCTCATTAAGCATTTGGTACCTAAAGACAAATAAATTCCTACCTGGAAAGTATGTATTTCCCAGTCCACGTGTAGCTGAATACTGAATGCAGGCGGATTGGGCATGTGTGACTCACTCACACTCTTCCCTGAGGAAATAATTATAGTATCCACCTGCAGAGCTGCAGGTGACACAAGAGAAAGAGACAGGCATTGGACCTGGGTGATCACTTCCTGTTCTTCCAACTCCCAGGTGATTGAAAAACATCCCCTTCCCTAGGTTTATCAGATCTACGCCAAGAGGTCCCCTGAGGATGTGCACGCACTCCTGAGGTCCTTCGGTGCAGATTACGTCATCTTGGAGAACAGCATCTGCTACGAGCGCAGGCACCGCCGGGGCTGCCGCCTGCGGGACCTGCTGGACATCGCCAATGGACACGTGAGCAATGGCTCCAGGCGGGGGATGATGCTGGTGGGGGTGATGCCTCCAGGTAATGCAGATCTGTTTCTGCTGGGGAGGTGTTGGAACGAATCCATGGGTCTTCTGCAGACACCTGCCCTGCTCCTTACACATAGCAATGGGTGCCAGGGGCTGGGAGAAGGGACTCCTCCCCATCTACACATAGGTCCCCCATTTCTCCTCAAACAGTAGCTCTGTTTTGATTGTTTTATAATACATGGCTTTGCAGAAAATATTTTTTAAGGATTTTACTGCAAAACCGCTTCGAAGCCCATTGCTCCAAAGGATATTTTGTTGTTGTTGTTGTTGGTCATGGGGCTTGAACTCTGGGCCTGGGCGCTGTTCCTCAACTCTTTAGCTCAAAGCTAGAGCTCTTACTACTGGAGCTACAGCACAACTTGCGGATTTCTTATTGGAGATAAAAGTTTCATGGACTTTCCTGCCCGGGCTGGCTTTGAACCGTGATCCTCAGATCTCAGCCTCCTTAGCAGTCAGGATTACAGGCGTGAGCCACCAGCGCCCGGCACTTTTTTTTATTTTAATTTTATTGTTATTATAAAGATGATGTACAGAGAGGTTACAGTTGTGTAAATCAGATAAAAACTACATTTCTTTTTGGACAATGTCAGTCCTTCCTTCCCTCTTTCCCAGCTCTTCCCCTCCCATCACTACCCACAAGTGGTATAGTTCATCTTCCACAAAGTGTCTAGTGAGTAGCACTGCTGCATTTGTTCACCCTTTGTCCCTCCATTTCTGTGCCCCCCCCCTTTATCTCAAAGACAGATAAAGGAACAAACAACATAAAAAGAAAAAGAAGCTGGTTTGTTGGTGGCTCACACCTGTAATTGTAGCTTCTCAGGAGGCTGAGATCTGAGGATCGTGGCTCAAAGCCAGTCCCGGCAGGAAAGTCCGTGAAACTCTTGAATATGTTTTTTTTGGGGGGGTCCGGTCATGGGGCCTGAACTCTGGGCCTGGGCACTATCCCTCCACTCTTCAGCTCAAGGCTAGCACTCTACCAGTTGAGCCACAGCACCACTTCCAGCTTTTTGCTTATGTGGTGCTGGGGAATCGAACCCAGGGCCTCATGCATGCAAGGCAAGCGCTCTACCACTGAGCCACCTTCCCAGCCCCAGTCCGTGAAACCCTTGTCTCCAATAAAACATCAGAAAACCAGAAGTGGCGCTCTGGCTCAAGCTGTAGAGTGCTCGCCTTGAGCTGAAGAGCGCAGGGACAGTGCCCAAGCCCCACGACCGACAAAAAAAAAAAAAAAGGAAAATGAAAACAGCAGCAAATTTTTTAAAAATCTCATCTCCATTTCCTGGAATTCATTTCGATACCTATTATTTTGTATGATCAGATGCACATAGACATTGTATCTTTGTGATCCTCTCCTAGGAGTATCCTCCTTTGGACTTACTGTGTGTGAATGCCTAGAGTCTTGTATCATTTATCATGTCCCTGTGTATTTTAGATCTAGCTTCCACATATGAGAGAAAACATTCACCATTTTCCAAAGCTTCTTTTTCATTGTTTTTTGACAGTATAGGCATTTCAGTTGAGGGCATCTTGCTTGGTAGGTAAGCATTCTGCCATTTAAGCCATGCCTCCAGCCCTTTTATTTTTTTCTTCAAACAGGTCCTCACATTCATGTCCAACTGGCCTGAACTGTGATCCTCCTCTTTACACTTCCCATACAGCTGTGACAACAGGCCCATGTGACCACACCCTGCTTTTTATTGATTGAGATGAGATCTCACAAATGGTTTTGCCCTTCATCTTGAATGGTATATAACTACTTAAACATAATAAAAATATAATATTAAAATATTTCTTAAACAAGTTTTTGTCAAGGCTGATCTCATACCATGATCCTCCTAATCTTACTCCTAAGTAGCTAAAATTATAGGTATGAGCTACCATGCCCAGATTAGCATTTCATTCTTTTTTTTTTTTTTTTAATCTTTTCTTTTTGGGTACTGGGGGTCAAACCCAGGACGTTGCATTTGCTAGGCAAGCGCTTTGCCAATGAGTTACATCCCAGCCCGAGCATTTTATCCTTCAGCAAAGCCAGTACCTATTGGTCCTATTCATGTTCTGTTGTCTTTTATGAACGTGATGTATTCATTTGTTTATTCAAGCATGGTAATATATACATGTAATCCTGGCATTTGAGAGACTGAGGCAGAGGAGTTGTGCAATTGAGGGCATCCTGTTGTACGCAGTGAGACCCTGTCAGATATATGAAAGATAGATAATAGATAGGTATGCAGGTAGATAGATAGATAGATAGATAGATCATAGATAAATGAGTGGATGGATAGATAAGATAAAAGTGGATATTTAGGACAAAATAATGGCATTTGCAGGGAAATGGATGAAGCTAGAAGGAATCATGTTGAGCTAGGTAAGCCAAGAGCAAACAGACAAACGGTACATGGTCTCCCTGATAAGTGGATGCTAAATCCAAAATGTTAGGTGATACGACAAAATTAACAGGACTTAAGAAACAAAGAACTCCCACTCATCTGGTCGAACCACTACTAAATATCCCCATGCTGCTGATCACATGTATGGTATATATGTGTACACTGTTATATGTTATAGACTGTGATAGACAGTTTGCTCCAGGAAAGTTAGAATGAACTTGTGACTTTAAATGAGCATCATTATTCCACAATACTGTGAAATTTGGGAAATTATGTAATCATTTAATCACAATAAAAAAAAAAAAGAACCTCGGGGAAGGTAGGGAGGGAAGGGATGGCAGGGGGAAAACAATGGAGGAGGTAACAATGCTCAATAGGAAGTACACTCATTACCTTGCTCATGTAACTGTAACCCTCTGTATAGTATCTTTACAATAAAAACTTTTAAAAAATAGCAAAAAAAAGTGGATATTTAGATAGATAGATCAATTGATCATAGCTTGAGATCGATAGAGTAGATACACCTTCTCCCCACCACTATGGCAGTCATATCTGCATTTGTTTTGACTTTAGGTGATGGACGGCCCAGGAGAGAACGATCCAGATCTGAAAGCTGCAGACCACCCTCGCTTCTGTGAGGAGATCAAAAGGAACCCACCTCCCTACGCAGCCCACTTCACTAGAGTATTTCAGAACAAGACCTTCCATGTCTACAAACTGTCCACAAACAAGTAGTGGAGATTCCTGCCCAGTCTCTCGGTTTTTTCCTCACAGGAGACTGCAGGGGGCTGAGGCTCTGTGGCCCGGGCTTCCTGTGAGAGGCAGTCTCTGGTGACTTGAGATGTCCTACAAGTATTACACAGTGTCAGCGTCTTCAGAAGCATCTTCCAACAGGCTTTGGGCGCTTTCCTGTCTTGTGTCTCTTTGTTCCATGTTCTTTTTCTGGGTCCAGATTTGAAAGGCATTTCATTTCAGGCTGAGAATCTTCACTTTGGTCCACTCTGGTGGAATGGGATTAACAGGAAGAAACGTTAAGTTATTTAACAGGAACTCACTAGAGAAGAGCAGTTGGTGGCTTTTTACAAAACTCTTTTTTTTTTTTTTTTAGCCAGGCTCCCAGTGACTCATGCCTGTAATCCTAGTTAGTCATGAAGCTGAGATCGGAGGATCATTTTTCAAAATGAGTCCATACAGGAAAGCCCAGGAGACTCTGACTTCCTATTAACCAGTAAAAACCCAGAAGTAGAGTTGTGGTAGAGCACTAACCTTGAGCAAAAAAAAGCTCAAGGACAACACCCAAGCACTGAGTTCAAGTCCCAGGACTGGCATGCACACACAACATACATACAAAGGATTTTTTTTTCCTGTGTCACTTAGTATTTTTTAATGTTCTTCACTATTGTAATTTTAACATGAACAGCAACAGAAAAAAAAATCATGTCAGGTTTTTATATGTATCGTAAAGTATTTTGTTGTACTCTATCTGAAATGTTTTCAGTTTCCTGATATTGTCATACGTGAAGGGAAATGTGTGTGCATCTGTGAAAGTTGGGCATAGAAGAATGTGTTCCCAGGGCTGGGAATGTGGCTTAGTGGTAGAATGCTTGCCTAGCATGTATGAAGCCCTGGGTTCCATTCCTCAGTACTACATAAACAGAAAAATCCAGAAGTGGCGCTGTGGCTCAAGTGGTAGAATGTTATCCTTGAGCAAAAGAAGCTCAGGGACAGTGCCCAGACCCTGAGTTCAAGCCCCAGGACCGACAAAAAAGAAAAAAAAAAAAAAAAAGAAAATGTGTCCCCAGTTCTTCATGGCCCCACCATCAAGAGGCAGAAGTATATGGAGCCAAAAAAACAGAATTTGTGACTTTAGACTTTAGTTTTATTCTTTTAAAACTTACTGAATACTCTCTCCTGCAAGTGAAATGCCCATCTTACTTCATTTTCTACCCATTTCAATTTACTGGGCTTGCAAATTTTGTAAATTTTTACATTTTTAGCCTTTTTTGTAATTTTTACAGCCTAGAACCTTGGAAAGCGTAGAACTGCTTTTGAAGCATTCTATCCTGTCAAGTTGACCACTCAGTCAGCATTACCATACAAGTTAGTCTAACTTGTGGTCTCCAACCCTAGTGAACAGGTCTTGGTGACACAATTTTCTTCTTCATCAAAAGCTAGCCAAGTGCCTCTAAGTCATGCTTGTCTGTAGATGACCAAAAAAAAAAAAAAAAAAAATCATGTGTACCTACTCAAAATTTGTAATAGTTGCTTTTATCATCTTATCATTTATAATAATAGGGACATGTAAAAATTGCTGATTAAAAAGCATTTCCTCTACTTAATTGACTCAAAATAGCTAATGAAGCCCAGCACTGGTGGGGTCATCCCTGTAATCCTAGCTACTCAGGAAACAGACCTGAGGATCATGGTTAGAAGCCAACCTGGGCAGGAAAATCCATGATACTCTCCAATTAACCAGCAAAAAAAAAAAAAAACTGGAAGTGGAGCTGTGGCTCCAGTAGTAGTAGATAGAGTGCTAGCCATGAGCATAAAAAGTTCAGGAACAGCACCCAAGTTCAAGACTGGTAACTTTGTTCCCTGTTCTTTCCAATTGGGAAGGATTTAAATGTTACTCCTGGCAGTTGGACTGTAGTAAATGGCCATAGGCATGGAGTTGGATAGCGTCATGTGTACAGATTTCTATTTCTAGTCACTACTTTCTAAAAAAAAACAAAAAATGAAAAAAAAAAAAAAACCCTTTAACTTGTCTTGTAGAGCACAGGGGATTCTGCTTTTATCAAAAACATAGTCAAAAAAGAAATTGACAAAGTCAGCAACTAGTAGCTTACATCTATAACCTAGCTCCTCAAGAGGCTGAAAGCTAAGGATTATGGTTTGAAGCTAGTATAGGCAGAAAAGTCCATGAAACTCTTATCTTCAGTGAACCACCACAAAGTCAGATAAGTGGTAAAATGCCAGCCTTTAACAAAATGGATAAAGGGCAGCACCCTAGCCCTGAGTTCAAGCCTCAGTACTGGCACACACACACACACACAATCTGTTACCTTTTCAGGTATTTTTTTAATTTAAATTTTCCTATCTGTCTTAGACATATTGGGAGTTTTGATTCTTGGTATACAAGGATTTTATCTGTTTGTTACCACATGGGCAGTGACTTTCTTTTTTCATCGTGCCATCATTGCCAAAACATGTAGTGTTTGCTCTTTAGTAAAAAGCATAAAGTGCCAAAAAAAAAAAAAAAATTGCGAGACAAACTCCACACATACACTCTTTCCCAAAACACTGTGAGCGTGTACATAAGTTTTTATTTCCCAGTGACCAAATTTCTCCGAGCACAATGGGAGGTATTTTTAGCACCTGGGAGGTTTCTTGTGTCTGGTCCAGCTCTGGTTCCCAGACTGTGCCAGAGACCCACAGCTTAACCACCCCCACTGACCCCCCTGCTGTACCACATGTGTTTCAGGGCTGTTTGATTTTTGGTAATAACAAATGGTTAACAGACTTGCCATAGGTGCTGGGCTCTGGTGCTCATGTCTGTAAACCTCACTGTGCAGGAGGCTGAGATCTGATAGTTCAAAGCCAGCCTGGTCAGGAAAACCCATGAGACTCCTCTGCCCACCAAAAAACTTGAAGTAAAGCTATGGACCAAGTGATAGGGCACCAGCCTTGAGCAAAAAAGCAGCTCAGAGATAATGCCCAGGCCCTGATTTTAGGCCCCAGTAGTGGCACATAAAAATAGTAAGTTTAGCAAGTAAGTGGACAATTGAAGATTATAAGCAATACCTCTGTACTTGACTTGTTCAGCGTCCAGATCCTGCTGCTGGTCATAGCCAGCAGCAGAGACCACACTCTGGAAAAAGTCCTTGCTGCTTCTACAAAAGGACCCAGGGTACTGTCAGAGGGGCTTTTATAGAGAGGCATGAACTAGAGATGTGAGTCCATTTGTTCAGCGTGGACAGATGTTTCTGACCTGTGAATGTTGATCCCTGGCAAAGAGCACGTGTAGGTATTTCCTTTGGTCTGCAATCTTTATTTCAATGAACCAAAAGGACAAAAATGTTCATTCCAAGTACATATTAACTCTCACATGTCCAAATTGCTGGGCACTGGTGGCTCATGCCTCTTAGCTACTCAGGAGACAAATCTGAGGATCTTGATAGGAGTCCAGCAGAAAAGTCCACGAAACCCTTATCTCCAGTTAACCAGCCAAAATCCAGAAGTAGAGTTGTTGCTCAAGTGATTGAGTGCCAGGCTTGAATGAAAAAACAGCAAGAGAGACCCTGTGTTCAAGCCCCAGAACTGGCACATACATTACACACACACATATCCAAATTTTAACTCATCTGTGACCACAATCTACTTGAATTGTCAGAAACATATTTTAGAATTTTAACTCAGACCTTGGAATGAATAGGAAGATGTTAGAATGTGCTCAGATTTTTATGTATTGACAGATGTGGTCACAAATATTTTCCCATGTGACCAGCCTTTGTCATGAGTGGAAAACTCAAGATGAGAGTGGGATTGGAGGTGTGGCTCAGGTGGTAGAGCACCTGCCAAAGAATGAAGTCACTAGATAACCAAGATTGAGTCCCGGTAAGGGAGTGGGGAGGCGGGTAAGAGATGAAGGAGTGGCTTGTTTTCTTATTGATTTTCTGTTTTGTTCATCTTTTGGGTAAAGCCTTACAAAGAGCTTTTATAATTTGTTGTACTAAATGATATGGAAATTGTATACTAAATAAAGCTCTTTTAGATTACACATAATTGTGTCTTTTTTTCCCCCCCGGTCATGGGGCTTGCACTCTGAGCCTGCATGCTGTCCCTGCAGTTCCCAGATCTCAGCCTTCTGAGTAGCTAGGATTAAAAGGGTGAGCCACCAGCACCTGGCAATTGTGTGTCTTTCAAGGTCTTTGAAGGTCAAACACCAAAGAACCTACTGATCAATGTGAACCTGTGGCAGGGATTAAATGTCATTGTTAAAGGAATTAGGTTGGGGAGGGAGTGTTGGTCCTGGGGCTTGAACTCAGGGCCTGGATGCTGACCCTGAGCTCTTTTTGCTCAAGGCTAGTGCTCTACCACTTTGAGCCACAGCTCTACTTGCAGTTTTCTGGTGGTTAATTAGAGATAAAAGTCTCAAGGCCTTTCCTGCCTGGGCTGGATTTGAACCATGATCCTCAGATCTCAGCCTCCTGAGTATCTAGGGTTACAGGCATAAGATACCAGGCATAAGATACCAGTGCCCAGCTGGACTTTGATTTGATAGTTGATTATTACTTTCACTGGAATCTCAAGAGTAGTATTTCAATGGAATTTATTGTCCAGGAGATAAGTATAGTTTGTCTTGACTTTAAGAACAATTTCTATCAAAATAATTCTGTGTGTGTGTGTGTGTGTGTGTGTGTGTGTGTATGTGTGTGTGTGTGTGTGTGTGTGTGTGTACCAGTACTAGAACTTGAACTCAGGACCTATGCACTGCCCCTTAAATTTGTGTCAGTCATGGGGCTTGAACTCTAGGCCTGGGTGCTGTCCCTCAGCTCCTCAGCTCAACACAAGCGCTCTACCACTTGAGCCACAGCACCACTTCTGGTTTTTTGGCAGTTCATTGGAGCTAAGAGTCTCACAGACTTTCCTGTCTGGGCTGGCTTTCAACCATGACCCTCAGATCCCAGTCTTCTGAGTAGCTAGGATTACAGGCATGAGCCATCGGCACTCAGCTCCCTGAGATCCTTTTTTTTTTTTTTTTTTTTTTTTGGGTCCGGTCATGGGGCCTGAACTCTGGGCCTGGGTGCTGTCCCTCAGCTCTTCAGTTCAAGGGTAGCACTCTACCACTTGAGCCACAGCGCCACTTCTGGCTTTTTTCTGTTTGCTTATGTGGTGCTGAGGAATCGAACCCAGGGCCTCATGCATGCAAGGCAAGCGCTCTACCACTGAGCCACTTTCCCAGCCCATCCCTGAGATTCTTCTTGACTCTTCTCTCCAATTAACCAGCAAGAATCCAGAAGTAGAGGTGTCACTCAAGTTTTTGAGCCTCAGCTGTGAGCACAAAAGCTCAAGGGCAGTACACAGGCCCTGTATTCAAGCCCTAGTACCTGTGCACGCGTACGCACACACACAG